AACTCTCGGCTTGGAATTCCAACGCAGTATCAACACAGCGTCATCAACGGCTGCGTTGATTCACCTTGGCGACGGCACATGTGACCCATTCCACCGCGATGCGCGAGCTCGCTTGGTGAGAGAGAGCGAGAGCGAGAGAGAGAGGAGAGAGTCGTTAAAGCATCCAGGCACGCTGTTCTAACAAAAACCTTAAGACTCTATTCTGAATGATTATACTTTGAATTGCCCACACAGTACTGCACTCATTATTGATCAAACGCAACCCTTAATGCCGTTCTTGTCACGTTGCTAACAGGGCAGCAGGCCGATTGATTATTACGCGATGATATTCATATGACGAGGCGATCGAACAATTATTATTTCCCAAAAAACGCAGGCGTCCGTCAGTAGGTCCGCCACGTCCGTCCGTGGATACTCCTGCAGGATTACGCAATTACAAAAACGAACGACTCGAACACTTCTAAGTGAACTCATCCACGCAGCTCAGCGGGCCCCCAGTGGCCGCCGTTAGCGGCGACTAGCTGGCGCCCTCGCCACGAGCCTCCCTGCACGTGTCGAGAATTCGGTTTGCTCCCCGCGGGGAGCGGTGGGGGCTCGTGAGCGTGGCGTGTGCGTGTGTGTGTACGTGTGTGTGTGTGTGCGTGTGTGTGTGTGCGTGTGTGTGTGTGCATGTGTACGTGTGTGTGTGTGTGTCACACGGACAGCGTGGCACTCCGCACGGGGCGGCCGCAGCTTCCGCCCGCGGCCGGCTGGAGGAGTCGGCTCCGCCGCCCGCCGTCGGCTCCGCGGTGATCCGTCCGCCGTCCCGGTTCCCGAGCCGCCGACCGGCCAATCGGCGAGTGTCGGCCGAGCCCGCGGGCCCTCTCGCTAGGAGCGACGCTTCTGCCTCTCGTGGTACGCTGGCACCCGGCGTGCCTCGACATTCTCAGCTGGCCACGCCGGGGGGCGGGTGGTCACCCCGGCCGGGGCCGGCCGCTAGCAGCACTCGGCGGCGGCTCGGCCCGGATCGACAGCTTGTTGAGCTCGCTGTTGCTCGTTGGACTGAACTGTCGAGGCGATGGTTGGGCTGCTCGTGTGTTCGTGCGTTCGTGTGTGCGTTCGCGTGTGTGTGTGTGTGTTCGTGTGTGTGCGTTCGTGTGTGTGTGTGTGCCAGTGTGTGTGACTGTGTGTCTAGTGGGGAGCGATAGTGTAGCGGTTAGCGCTACGCTGCGCTATGAACCTGGCGACCCGGGTTCGATTCCCGCTCACGGCCAACACCACCGGTGACGATTATCTGAACCGGTCCCGGGCCTCCCCTAGGTCAAATGAGTACCTGGTGCGGTGTGTAAAACATTGCCACTAGGGAGACAAAGGCGGTCGGGCGTGGAGCTGGCCACCCACCCCCTCGTGTACTGTTCCAGCCTTCATAGGTGATCGCTAACAGCACTTGCCCCTACAGTCTGTTAAGGCTACATGGGGGATCTTTATCTTTGTCTTTGTTCGTGTGTGTGTGTGTGTGCGTTCGTGTGTGTGTGCGTTCGTGTGTGTGTGTGTGGGTTCGTGTGTGTGCGTGTGTGTGTGTGTGTGCGTTCGTGTGTGTGTGTGCGTTCGTGTGTGTGTGTGTGCGTTCGTGTGTGTGTGTGCGTGTGTGTGTGTGCGTTCGTGTGTGTGTGTGCGTGTGTTCGTGCGTGTGTGTGCGTGTGTGTGTGTGTTCGTGTGTGTGTGTTCGTGTGTGTGTGTGTCATCCCATCAAGCCATCCTGCGTGTCCCCCCATCGATCACCGTCCCCTCCCCAAGGTATCCCTTCACCCGTGGGGCCACAGATGCCCCCCTCCCTCCCTGCAACATCATCGAGCAATTCCTCGCTCGGGGTTGAATTCCTTTCTCGTGCTGCGGGAAGACAAAGGCGGCCGGGAGGCTCTCTCTCTATGGAAGTTCCCCTCCCCTCTTGGTGAACCTGGAGGCTGTCCATCAGAGCGGTGTGTTTGTGAAATCATCCCCTGTCCATCTGGAGATTCCGCAGATAATCGCTAAACTTCTAGTGTAGTGGTACTTGTGTACTAGTAGTAGTACTAGTAGTACTACTACTAGTAGTAGTAATGTAGTAGTAGTGTACTACACTACTACTACAGTAGTACTACTGTAGTAGTAGTGTAGTAGTAGTTGTGTAGTACACTACTAGTAGTAGTAGTACTACTAGTAGTGTACTAGTAGTAGTGTAGTACACTACTAGTAGTAGTACTACTAGTAGTGTACTACACTACTAGTAGTGTAGTAGTAGTTGTGTAGTACTAGTAGTACTACTAGTAGTGTAGTAGTAGTTGTGTACTAGTTGTGTACTACTACACTACTACTACACTACTACTACACTAGTACTACTACACTAGTACTAGTAGTGTACTACACTACTACTAGTAGTACTAGTACTACTACAGTAGTACTACTACTAGTACTACTACTACACTACACTACTACTACACTACTAGTACTACTAGTAGTAGTGTAGCAGTAGTGTAGTACACTACTACTACAGTAGTACTACTACTAGTACTACACTACTACTACACTACTACTAGTAGTACTGTAGTAGTACTACTAGTAGTAGTACTACTACAGTACTACTAGTACTACACTACTACTACACTACTACTAGTAGTAGTGTAGTAGTACTACTACACAGTACTACTACTACACTACAACTACACGACTACTAGTACTACTACTACACTGCTACTACTAGTACTACTACTACTACACTACTAGTAGTACTACTGCACTACTACTACTACACTACTACCACACTACTACTACTACACTACTACTAGTACTATTACTACACTACTACTACACTACTACTAGTACTACTACACTACTACTACACTACTACTACACTACTACTAGTACTACTACACTACTACTACACTACTACTAGTACTACTACACTACTACTACACTACTACTAGTACTATTACTACACTACTACTACAACTACACTACTACACTACTACTACACTACTACTACACTACTACTACTACACTACTACTACAACTACACTACTACACTACTACTACACTACTACTACACTACTACTACTACACTACTACTACAACTACACTACTACTACACTACTACTACACTACTACTACTACACTACTACTACACTACTACAACACTACTACTAGTGTACTAGTACTACACTACTACTAGTACTACTACTACAACTACGACACTACTACACTACTACTACACTACTACTACACTACTAGTACTACACTACTACTACTACACTACTACTACACTACTAGTACTACAATACTACCACTACACTACTACTACACTACTACTACACTACTATTACTACACTACTACTACTACACTACTACTACTACACTACTAGTACTACACTACTACTAATACACTACTACTACACTACTAGTACTACATTACTACTACTACACTACTACTACACTACTACTACACTACTACTACACTACTACACTACTACTGCTACACTACTACTACACTACTACTACACTACTAGTACTACATTACTACTACTACACTACTACTACACTACTAGTACTACACTACTACTACACTACTACTACACTACTACTACTACACTACTACTACTACACTACTACTACTACACTACTACTAGTACCACTAGTACTAGTAGTAGTGTAGTAGTAGTGTAGTAGTAGTACTACTACACTATCACTACACTACTACTACACTACTACTACACTACTAGTACTACTACTACACTTCTACTACACTACTACTACACTACTACTAGTACTACTACTACACTACTACTACACTACTACTACCACTACTACTACTACACTACTAGTACTACTACTACACTACTACTACACTACTACTAGTACTACTACACTACTAGTACTACTACTACACTTCTACTACACTACTACTACACTACTACTAGTACTACTACTACACTACTACTACACTACTACTACACTACTACTACTACTACACTACTAGTACTACTACTACACTACTACTACACTACTACTAGTACTACTACACTACACTTCTACTACACTACTACTACACTACTACTAGTACTACTACTACTACACTACTACTACACTACTACTACACTACTACTACCACTACTACTACTACACTACTAGTACTACTACTACACTACTCCTACACTACTACTACACTACTACTAGTAGTAGTGTAGTAGTAGTGCTATTAGTACTGCTACTACAACTACTACTACTAGTACACTACTAGTAGACACTAGTAGTGTACTAGTAGTGTCTACTACTAGTACTAGTACTACTAGTAGTACTAGTACTACACTCGTACTAGTACTACTAGTACTAGTGTACTAGTACTACTAGTACACTAGTACTAGTGTACTAGTACTACTAGTAGTACTAGTACACTAGTACACTAGTACTAGTAGTACTACTAGTACTAGTGTACTAGTAGTACTACTAGTACACTAGTACTATTCGTAGTACTAGTGTACTAGTGTACTAGTAGTACACTAGTACACTAGTAGTACTAGTGTACTAGTAGTACACTAGTACACTAGTAGTACTAGTGTACTAGTACACTAGTACTACTAGTGTACTAGTACACTAGTAGTACTAGTACTACTAGTGTACTAGTGTACTACTAGTACTAGTAGTACTACTAGTACACTACTACTAGTACACTAGTAGTACTAGTACACTAGTACACTAGTACTAGTACTACTACTCATAGTACACGGCGTAGACGGTGGCCACGGCATAGAGGCCGTGCCGTGTGAGCGTGGCGCTCACCACGGTGTCCGTGGAGGGGTCCCAGAGGCAGCGAGACACAACACGGACAGCGCCCTCACAGGCCCGGCCGGCTGTCGCCTCCACTCCCTTCACTCCAACACCAACACTACCAACACCACCACTACCAACACCACTACCAACACCACCACTACCAACACCACCACCACCGCCACCACTGCCAACAGCACCACTACCGCCACCACCGTCACCACTGCCACTACCGCCAACAGCACCGCCACTACTACCACCAACAGCACCACCAACAGCACCACCACTACTACCACCAACAGCACCACCAACAGCACCACCACCACCGCCAATGTGGACCAGGACGGCCAATTTGAAACGAGAGACCTCCAGATCCTTCACCCTGGCCTTGATCACCTGCAGACAGAGACACGGAGACACGGATACACACACAGACACACTGTGACACTGTGACACACAGACACACACTGTGACACACAGAGACACACTGTGACACAGAGACACACAGAGACACACTGTGACACACAGTGACACACTGTGACACACAGAGACACACTGTGAGACTGTGACACACTGTGACACAGTGACACACAGTGACACAGTGTGACACTGACACACTGTGACACTGTGACACACAGAGACACACTGTGACACTGTGACACACAGACACACACAGTGACACACAGTGACACACTGTGACACAGAGACACACTGTGACACTGTGACACACAGACACACACTGTGACACACAGAGACACACTGTGACACAGAGACACACAGAGACACACTGTGACACACAGTGACACACTGTGACACACAGAGACACACTGTGACACTGTGACACACTATGACACAGTGACACACTGTGACACAGTGTGACACTGACACACTGTGACACTGTGACACACAGAGACACACTGTGACACTGTGACACACAGACACACAGTGACACACAGTGACACACTGTGACACAGAGACACACAGAGACACACTGTGACACTGTGACACACAGACACACACTGTGACACACAGAGACACACTGTGACACAGAGACACACAGAGACACACTGTGACACACAGTGACACACTGTGACACACAGAGACACACTGTGACACTGTGACACACTATGACACAGTGACACACTGTGACACAGTGTGACACTGACACACTGTGACACTGTGACACACAGAGACACACTGTGACACTGTGACACACAGACACACACAGTGACACACAGTGACACACTGTGACACTGTGACACACTGTGACACTGTGACATACACACTGTGACACACTGTGACACACTGTGTGTCACTGTGACACACACAGTGACACACACAGTGACACACACTGTGTCACAGTGTGTGACACACTGTGACACACTGTGACACACAGAGACACACTGTGACACTGTGACACACTGTGACACAGAGACACTGTGACACACAGACACACAGTGTCACAGTGTGTCACACTGTGACACACTGTGACACACTCTGTGACACACAGACACACACAGTGACACACAGTGACACACACTGTGACACACACAGTGACACACACTGTGACACACACAGTGACACTGACACACACAGTGACACACAGTGACACACACTGTGACACACACAGTGACACACACAGTGACACACACTGTGACACACACAATGATACACACACACAGTGACACACACAGTGTGACACACACAGTGACACACACAGTGACACACTGTGACACACAGCGACACTGTGACACTGTGACACAGAGACACACAGTGACACACTGTGACACACTGTGACACACAGTGACACACACAGTGACACACACTGTGAAACACACAGTGACACACACTGTGACACACACAGTGACACACACAGTGACACACACTGTGACACTGTGACACACACAGTGACACAGTGACACACTGTGACACACACAGTGTGACACACACTGTGACACTGTGACACACACAGTGACACAGTGACACACTGTGACACACACAGTGTGACACACACTGTGACACACACACTGTGACACACACAGTGACACACACTGTGACACACACAGTGACACAGTGACACACTGTGACACACACAGTGTGACACACACAGTGACACACACAGTGCCACACACTGTGACACACACTGTGACACACACAGTGACACACTCTGTGACACACAGTGACACACACTGTGACACACACAGTGACACACACAGTGACACAGTGACACACACACACTGTGACACACACACTGTGACACACACTGTGACATACACTGTGACACACAGTGACACACACAGTGTGACACACAGTGACACACACAGTGACACAGTGACACTCACTGTGACACAGTGACACACACAGTGACACACACACAGTGACACACACAGTGACACACACTGTGACACACAGTGACACACACAGTGTGACACATACAGTGACACACACAGTGACACACACTGTGACACAGTGACACACACAGTGACACACACAGTGTGACACACACAGTGACACACACAGTGACACACACTGTGACACACTGTGACACACAGACACACACAGACACACACTGTGACACACACAGTGACACACAGTGACACACTGTGACACTGTGACACACAGAGACACACTGACACACTGTGACACACAGAGACACACAGAGACACACTGTGACACTGTGACACAGTGACACACAGAGACACACTGTGACACTGTGACACAGAGACACACTGTGACACTGTGACACACAGAGACACACACTGTGACACACTGTGACACACACAGTGACACACACAATGTGACACACACTGTGTGTGACACACACTGTGACACACACAGTGACACACACAGTGACACACACAGTGTGACACACTGTGACACACACAGTGACACTGTGACACACACAGTGACACTGTGACACACACAGTGACACTGTGACACACACAGTGACACACACACTGTGACACACACAGTGACACAGTGACACACACAGTGACACACACACAGTGACACACACACAGTGTGACACACACAGTGACACACACAGTGACACACACACAGTGACACACACACACAGTGTCACAGTGTCACACACACACAGTGACACACACTGTGACACACACAGTGACACACACACAGTGACACACACAGTGACACACACTGTGACACACACAGTGACACACACAGTGACACACACACAGTGACACACACACAGTGATAAACAGAGTGACACACACACATACACAGTGACACACACAGTGACACACACAGTGACACACACACAGTGACACACACAGTGACACACACAGTGACACACACACATACTGTGACACGGCTGGTCACGTGGCGCTCACCTCGGACACGGTCTTGGAGATCTGTCGGCAGAGTTCGGGTTCGTATCGCTCGCTCACCAGGTAGCTGCTGAGCACGTCCAGGGCGATGAGACGTGCCGACAGTACGGGGAACACGCGGGGCGGAGCTGGGACACGGGGAGTGGGACACGGGGGTGGGACACGGGGGTGGGACAGGAGGGGTGGGACAGGGGGGGTGAGACAGGGGGGGGGGGGTGAGACAGGGGGGGGGGTGAGACAGGGGTGAGACACGGGGGGAGAGACACGGGAGAGAGACACGGGGTGAGACACGGGGGGAGAGACACGGGGGGTGAGACACGGGGGGTGAGAGACACGGGGGTGACACACGGGGGTGAGACACGGGGGAGAGAGACACGGGGTGGACACGGAGTGAGACACGGGGGGAGAGACACGAACAGAACTTGCCCCAACAGTCTGTTACAGGCGATATGTCTTTGTGTGAGTGAGTGAGTAGTGAGTGAGTGTATGAGTGAGTAGTGAGTGAGTAGTGAGTGAGTGAGTAGTGAGTGAGTAGTGAGTGAGTAGTGAGTGAGTGAGTAGTGAGTGAGTAGTGAGTGAGTGAGTAGTGAGTGAGTAGTGAGTGAGTAGTGAGTAGTGAGTGTGTGAGTAGTGAGTGAGTAGTGAGTGAGTAGTGTGTGAGTGAGTAGTGAGTGAGTAGTGAGTGAGTGTATGAGTGTGTCTATAAGTGTGTGAGTGTGTGTATGAGTGAGTGTGTGAGTGTATGAGTGTATGTATAAGTGTGTCTATAAGTGTGTGAGTGTGTGTATGAGTGAGTGTGTGTATGAGTGAGTGTGTGAGTGTATGAGTGAGGAGTGAGTGAGTAGTGAGTGTATGTATGAGTGTGTCTATAAGTGTGTGAGTGTGTGTATGGGTGAGTGTGTGTATGATGGTACCCAGGTGGTAGGTGTGTGTGTGTGATGGTACCCAGGTGGTAGGTGTGTGTGTGTGATGGTACCCAGGTGGTAGGTGTGTGTATGATGGTACCCAGGTGGTAGGTGTGTGTGTGTGATGGTACCCAGGTGGTAGGTGTGTGTGTATGATGGTACCCACGTGGTAGGTGTGTGTGTGTGTGATGGTACCCAGGTGGTAGGTGTGTGTGTGATGGTACCCAGGTGGTAGGTGTGTGTATGATGGTACCCAGGTGGTAGGTGTGTGTGTGTGTGTGATGGTACCCAGGTGGTAGGTGTGTGTGTGTGTGTGATGGTACCCAGGTGGTAGGTGTGTGTGTGTGTGATGGTACCCAGGTGGTAGGTGTGTGTGATGGTACCCAGGTGGTAGGTGTGTGTATGATGGTACCCAGCTGGTAGGTGTGTGTATGATGGTACCCAGGTGGTAGGTGTGTGTGTGATGGTACCCAGGTGGTAGGTGTGTGTGTGTGATGGTACCCAGGTGGTAGGTGTGTGTGTGATGGTACCCAGGTGGTAGGTGTGTGTATGATGGTACCCAGCTGGTAGGTGTGTGTATGATGGTACCAAGGTGGTAGGTGTGTGTGTGTGATGGTACCCAGGTGGTAGGTGTGTGTGTGATGGTACCCAGGTGGTAGGTGTGTGTGTGTATGATGGTACCCAGGTGGTAGGTGTGTGTATGATGGTACCCAGGTGGTAGGTGTGTGTGTGTGTGATGGTACCCAGGTGGTAGGTGTGTGTATGATGGTACCCAGGTGGTAGGTGTGTGTGTATGATGGTACCCAGGTGGTAGGTGTGTGTATGATGGTACCCAGGTGGTAGGTGTGTGTGTATGATGGTACCCAGGTGGTAGGTGTGTGTGTATGATGGTACCCAGGTGGTAGGTGTGTGTATGATGGTACCCAGGTGGTAGGTGTGTGTATGATGGTACCCACGTGGTAGGTGTGTGTATGATGGTACCCAGGTGGTAGGTGTGTGTGTGTGATGGTACCCAGGTGGTAGGTGTGTGTGTATGATGGTACCCAGGTGGTAGGTGTGTGTATGATGGTACCCAGGTGGTAGGTGTGTGTATGATGGTACCCAGGTGGTAGGTGTGTGTGTATGATGGTACCCAGGTGGTAGGTGTGTGTATGATGGTACCCACGTGGTAGGTGTGTGTGTGTGATGGTACCCAGGTGGTAGGTGTGTGTGTGTATGATGGTACCCAGCTGGTAGGTGTGTGTATGATGGTACCCAGGTGGTAGGTGTGTGTATGATGGTACCCAGGTGGTAGGTGTGTGTATGATGGTACCCAGGTGGTAGGTGTGTGTATGATGGTACCCAGGTGGTAGGTGTGTGTGTGATGGTACCCAGGTGGTAGATGTGTGTGTATGATGGTACCCAGGTGGTAGGTGTGTGTGTATGATGGTACCCAGGTGGTAGGTGTGTGTGTATGATGGTACCCAGGTGGTAGGTGTGTGTGTGTGATGGTACCCAGGTGGTAGGTGTGTGTGTGTGATGGTACCCAGGTGGTAGGTGTGTATGATGGTACCCAGGTGGTAGGTGTGTGTGTGATGGTACCCAGGTGGTAGGTGTGTGTGTGTGATGGTACCCAGGTGGTAGGTGTGTGTATGATGGTACCCAGGTGGTAGGTGTGTGTATGATGGTACCCAGGTGGTAGGTGTGTGTGTGATGGTACCCAGGTGGTAGGTGTGTGTATGATGGTACCCAGGTGGTAGGTGTGTGTGTATGATGGTACCCACGTGGTAGGTGTGTGTATGATGGTACCCAGGTGGTAGGTGTGTGTGTATGATGGTACCCAGGTGGTAGGTGTGTGCGTATGATGGTACCCAGGTGGTAGGTGTGTGTGTGTGATGGTACCCAGGTGGTAGGTGTGTGTGTGATGGTACCCAGGTGGTAGGTGTGTGTATGATGGTACCCAGGTGGTAGGTGTGTGTATGATGGTACCCAGCTGGTAGGTGTGTGTGTGTGATGGTACCCAGGTGGTAGGTGTGTGTGTGTGTGTGTATGATGGTACCCAGGTGGTAGGTGTGTGTGTATGATGGTACCCAGGTGGTAGGTGTGTGTGTATGATGGTACCCAGGTGGTAGGTGTGTGTATGATGGTACCCAGGTGGTAGGTGTGTGTGTGTGATGGTACCCAGGTGGTAGGTGTGTGTATGATGGTACCCAGGTGGTAGGTGTGTGTGTGATGGTACCCAGGTGGTAGGTGTGTGTGTGATGGTACCCAGGTGGTAGGTGTGTGTGATGGTACCCAGGTGGTAGGTGTGTGTATGATGGTACCCAGGTGGTAGGTGTGTGTATGATGGTACCCAGGTGGTAGGTGTATGTGATGGTACCCAGGTGGTAGGTGTGTGTGTGTGATGGTACCCAGGTGGTACGTGTGTGTGTGTATGATGGTACCCAGGTGGTAGGTGTGTGTGTGTATGATGGTACCCAGGTGGTAGGTGTGTGTGTGTATGATGGTACCCAGGTGGTACGTGTGTGTGTGATGGTACCCAGGTTGTAGGTGTGTGTGTGATGGTACCCAGGTGGTAGGTGTGTGTATGATGGTACCCAGGTGGTACGTGTGTGTGTGTATGATGGTAGCCAGGTGGTAGGTGTGTGTGTGTATGATGGTACCCAGGTGGTAGGTGTGTGTGTGTGATGGTACCCAGGTGGTAGGTGTGTGTGTGTGATGGTACCCAGGTGGTAGGTGTGTGTGTGTGTGTGATGGTACCCAGGTGGTAGGTGTGTGTATGATGGTACCCAGGTGGTAGGTGTGTGTATGATGGTACCCAGGTGGTAGGTGTGTGTGTGTGTGTGATGGTACCCAGGTGGTAGGTGTGTGTATGATGGTACCCAGGTGGTACGTGTGTGTGTGTATGATGGTAGCCAGGTGGTAGGTGTGTGTGTGTATGATGGTACCCAGGTGGTAGGTGTGTGTGTGTGATGGTACCCAGGTGGTAGGTGTGTGTGTGTGATGGTACCCAGGTGGTAGGTGTGTGTGTGTGTGTGATGGTACCCAGGTGGTAGGTGTGTGTATGATGGTACCCAGGTGGTAGGTGTGTGTATGATGGTACCCAGGTGGTAGGTGTTCTCCAGCTGAATGTGGCTGCGGCTCGAATCGTCATGGCAACCCGGCTCGTCCATGTACGAGACGGTGCTCATAGAACTACAGTCCAACACGAGCAGCAGCAGCAGCAGCATCAGCAGCAATGTCACAAGAGGTTGTGTAGCCTTTCTCATTGATTCTCTCTCTGTGTGTCTATGTGTGTGTCTCTGTGTGTCTATGTGTGTGTCTCTGTGTGTCTCTCTCTGTGTGTCTCTGTGTGTCTCTGTGTGTGTCTCTGTGGGTCTCTGTGTGTGTCTCTGTGTGTCTATGTGTGTGTCTCTGTGGGTCTCTGTGTGTGTCTCTGTGTGTGTCTCTGTGTGTCTCTGTGTGTGTCTATGTGTGTGTCTCTCTGTGTCTCTGTGTGTCTCTCTCTGTGTGTGTCTCTGTGGGTCTCTGTCTGTGTGTGTCTCTCTCTCTGAGTCTCTGTGTGTCTCTGTGTGTGTCTCTGTGTGTCTATGTGTGTGTCTCTGTGTGTCTATGTGTGTGTCTCTCTGTGTCTATGTGTGTGTCTCTGTGTGTCTATGTGTGTGTCTCTCTGTGTGTCTGTGTGTCTCTCTCTGTGTGTCTCTCTGTGTCTCTGTGTGTGTCTCTCTCTGTGTGTCTCTCTGTGTGTGTCTCTCTCTGTGTGTGTCTCTCTCTGTGTGTGTCTCTCTGTGTCTCTGTGTGTGTCTCTGTGTGTCTCTGTGGGTCTCTGTGTGTCTCTGTGTCTCTGTGGGTCTCTGTCTGTCTCTGTGTGTCTCTCTCTGTGTGTCTCCCTCTGTGTGTCTCTCTGTGTCTCTGTGTGTCTCTCTCTGTGTGTCTCTCTGTGTGTGTCTCTGTGTGTGTCTCTGTGTGTGTCTCTCTATGTGTCTCTCTCTGTGTGTCTCTGTGTGTCTCTGTGTGTCTCTATCTGTATGTCTCTCTCTGTGTGTCTCTCTCTGTGTCTCTCTGTGTGTCTCTGTGTGTCTCTCTGTGTCTCTATGTGTCTCTGTGTGTCTCTCTCTGTATGTCTCTCTGTGTGTCTCTGTGTGTCTCTCTGTGTGTCTCTCTCTGTGTGTCTCTCTCTGTGTGTCTCTGTGTGTCTCTCTCTCTGTGTCTGTCTCTCTGCGTCTCTGTGTGTCTCTCTCTGTGTGTCTCTGTGTGTCTCTCTGTGTGTCTCTCTGTGTGTCTCTGTGTCTCTGTGTGTCTCTCTCTGTGTGTCTCTCTCTGTGTGTCTCTCTCTGTGTGTCTCTGTGTGTCTCCGTGTGTATCTGTGTGTCTATGTTATTTGTCTCTCTCTGTGTGTCTCTGTGTGTCTCTTTGTGTTTCTGTGTGTGTCTATGTTGTGTGTGTCTCTCTGTGTGTCTTTGTGTCTCTCTCTGTGTGTCTCTGTGTGTCTCTCTGTGTGTCTATCTCTGTGTGTCTCTCTCTGTGTCTCTCTGTGTGTCTCTGTTGTCTCTCTCTCTCTGTGTCTCTGTGTGTCTCTGTGTGTGTCTGTGTGTCTCTGTGTGTCTCTGTGTGACTATATGTGTCTCTGTCTGTCTCTGTGTGTCTCTCTCTGTCTGTCTGTGTGTCTCTCTGCTGTGTGTCTCTGTGTGTCTCTGTATGTCTCTGTGTGTCTCTCTGTGTGTCTGTGTGTCTCTCTCTGTGTGTCTCTGTGTCTCTGTGTGTCTCTCTGTGTCTCTCTCTCTGTGTTTCTCTGCTGTGTGTCTCTGTGTGTCTCTGTGTGTCTCTCTCTGTCTGTCTGTGTGTCTCTCTCTGTGTCTCTGTCTCTCTCTGTGTGTCTATGTTGTGTGTCTCTCTCTGTGTGTCTCTGTGTGTCTCTCTCTGTCTGTCTCTGTGTGTCTCTCTCTCTGTCTGTCTGTGTGTCTCTCTCTGTGTCTCTCTGTGTGTCTCTCTCTCTCTCTGTGTGTCTATGTTGTGTGTCTCTCTCTGTGTGTCTCTCTCCCCGCGTCTCCCCGTGTCTCTCTCCCCGTGTCTCTCTCCCCGTGTCTCCGTGTCTCTCTCCCCATGTCTCTCTCCCTGCGTCTCTCCCCGCGTCTCTCTCCCCATGTCTCTCTCCCCGCGTCTCTCTCTCCCCGCGTCTCTCTCCCCATGTCTCTCTCCCCGTATCTCTCTCTCCCCGCGTCTCTCTCCCCGTGTCTCTCTCCCCATGTCTCTCTCCCCACGTCTCTCCCCGCGTCTCTCCCCGTGTCTCTCTCCCCGTGTCTCCGTGTCTCTCTCCCCGCGTCTCTCTCCCCGTGTCTCTCTCCCCGTGTCTCTCTCCCCGCGTCTCTCTCCCCGTGTCTCTCTCCCCACGTGTCCCACTCACTCCACGTTGCTTATCTCTCTCCCCGTGTCTCTCTCCCCGTGTCTCTCTCCCCGTGTCTCTCTCCCCGTGTCTCCGTGTCTCTCTCCCCGCATCTCTCTCCCCGCGTCTCTCTCCCCATGTCTCTCTCCCCATGTCTCTCTCCCCGTGTCTCTCTCCCCGCGTCTCTCTCCCCGTGTCTCTCTCCCCACGTGTCCCACTCACTCCACGTTGCTTATCTCTCTCCCCGTGTCTCTCTCCCCGTGTCTCTCTCCCCGTGTCTCTCTCCCCGTGTCTCTCTCCCCGTGTCTCCGTGTCTCTCTCCCCACATCTCTCTCCCCGCGTCTCTCTCCCCGTGTCTCTCTCCCCGTGTCTCTCTCCCCGTGTCTCTCTCCCCATGTCTCCGTGTCTCTCTCCCCGCGTGTCTCTCTCCCAGCGTGTCCCACTCACTCAACGTTGCGCGTCTCTCTCCCCGCGTCTCCCCCCACGTGTCTCTCCCATCGTGTCTCTCCCCCCGTGTCTCTCCCCGTGTCTCTCCCCGTGTCTCTCTCCCCGCGTCTCTCTCCCCGTGTCTCCGTGTCGCTCCCCTCGCGTCTTTCCCCCCGCGTCTCTCCCCCCGCATCTCTCTCCCCGCGTGTCTCTCCCCGTGTCTCTCTCCATGTCTCTCTCCGTGTCTCTCTCCCCGTGTCTCTCTCCCCGTGTCTCCCCCCGTGTCTCTCTCCGTGTCTCTCTCCCCGTGTCTCTCTCCGCGTGTCTCCCCGTGTCTCTCTCCCCGTGTCTCTCTCCCCGTGTCTCTCTCCCCGTGTCTCTCTCCCCGTGTCTCTCTCCCCGTGTCTCTGTGTGTCTCTCTCTGTCTGTCTCTGTGTGTCTCTCTCTCTGTGTGTCTCTGTCTCTCTCTGTGTGTTTATGTTGTGTGTCTCTCTCTGTGTGTCTCTCTCCCCGCGTCTCCCCGTGTCTCTCTCCCCGTGTCTCTCTCCCCGCGTCTCTCTCCCCGTGTCTCCGTGTCTCTCTCCCCATGTCTCTCTCCCTGCGTCTCTCCCCGCGTCTCTCTCCCCATGTCTCTCTCCCCGCGTCTCTCTCTCCCCGCGTCTCTCTCCCCATGTCTCTCTCCCCGTATCTCTCTCTCCCCGCGTCTCTCTCCCCGTGTCTCTCTCCCCATGTCTCTCTCCCCACGTCTCTCCCCGCGTCTCTCCCCGTGTCTCTCTCCCCGTGTCTCCGTGTCTCTCTCCCCGCGTCTCTCTCCCCGTGTCTCTCTCCCCGTGTCTCTCTCCCCGCGTCTCTCTCCCCGTGTCTCTCTCCCCACGTGTCCCACTCACTCCACGTTGCTTATCTCTCTCCCCGTGTCTCTCTCCCCGTGTCTCTCTCCCCGTGTCTCTCTCCCCGTGTCTCTCTCCCCGTGTTTCCGTGTCTCTCTCCCCGCATCTCTCTCCCCGCGTCTCTCTCCCCATGTCTCTCTCCCCGTGTCTCTCTCCCCGTGTCTCTCTCCCCATGTCTCTCTCCCCGTGTCTCTCCCCACGTGTCTCTCTCCCCGCGTGTCCCACTCACTCAACGTTGCGCGTCTCTCTCCCCGTGTCTCTCTCCCCGCGTCTCTCTCCCCGCGTCTCTCTCCCCGCGTCTCTCTCCCCGCGTCTCTCTCCCCGCGTCTCCCCCCACGTGTCTCTCCCATCGTGTCTCTCCCCCCGTGTCTCTCCCCGTGTCTCTCCCCGTGTCTCTCTCCCCGCGTCTCTCTCCCCGCGTCTCTCCCCCCGTGTCTCTCCTGCCGTGTCTCTCCCCCCGTGTCTCTCCCCCCGTGTCTCTCCCCCGTGTCTCTCCCCCCGTGTCTCCCCCCCGTGTCTCTCCCCCCGCGTCTCTCCCCCCGCGTCTCTCCCCCCGCGTCTCTCCCCCCGCGTCTCTCCCCCCGTGTCTCTCCCCCGTGTCTCTCTCCCCGCGTCTCTCTCCCCGTGTCTCCGTCTCTCTCTCCCCGCGTCTCTCTCCCCGCGTCTCTCTCCCCGCGTCTCTCCCCGTGTCTCTCTCCCCGTGTCTCTCTTCCCGCGTCTCTCTCCCCGTGTCTCCGTGTCTCTCTCCCCGCGTCTCTCTCTCCGCGTCTCTCTCCCCGCGTCTCTCCCCTCGTGTCTCTCCCCGTGTCTCTCTCCCCGTGTGTCTCTCCCCGTGTCTCTCCCCCATGTCTCTCTCCCCGTGTCTCTCTCCCCGCGTCTCTCTCCCCGTGTCTCTCTCCCCGCGTCTCTCTCCCCACGTCTCTCTCCCCGTGTCTCCGTGTCTCTCTCCCCGCGTCTCTCCCCCCGCGTCTCTCCCCGCGTCTCTCCCCGTGTCTCCGTGTCTCTCCCCCCGCGTCTCTCCCCCCGCGTCTCTCCCCCCGCGTCTCTCTCCCCGCGTGTCTCTCCCCGTGTCTCTCTCCCCGTGTCTCTCTCCCCGTGTCTCCCCCAGTGTCTCTCTCGGTGTCTCTCTCCCCGTGTCTCTCTCCGCGTGTTTCCCCGTGTCTCTCTCCCCGTGTCTCTCTCCCCGCGTCTCTCTCCCCACGTCTCTCTCCCCGTGTCTCCGTGTTTCTCCCCCCGCGTCTCTCCCCCCGCGTCTCTCCCCCCGCGTCTCTCTCCCCGTGTCTCTCTCCCCGTGTCTCTCTCCCCGTGTCTCCCCCAGTGTCTCTCTCCGTGTCTCTCTCCCCGTGTCTCTCTCCGCGTGTCTCCCCGTGGCTCTCTCCCCGTGTCTCTCTCCCCGTGTCTCTCTCCCCGTGTCTCTCTCCCCGTGTCTCTCTCCCCGTGCCTCTCTCCCCGTGTCTCTCTCCCCCGTGTCTCTCTCCCCGTGTCTCTCTCCCCACGTGTCTCTCCCCGTGTCTCTCTCCCCGTGTCTCTCTCCCCACGTGTCTCTCCCCGTGTCTCTCTCCCCGTGTCTCTCTCCCCGCGTGTCCCACTCACTCCACGTTGTGCGTCTCTCTCCCCGCGTCTCTCTCCCCGTGTCTCTCTCCCCGTGTCTCTCTCCCCGTGTCTCTCTCCCCGTGTCTCTCTCCCCGTGTCTCTCTCCCCGCGTGTCCCACTCACTCCACGTTGCGTGTCTCTCTCCCCATGTCTCTCTCCCCACGTGTCTCCGTGTCTCTCTCCCTGTCTCTCTCCCCTTGTCTCTCTCCCCGTGTCTCTCCCCGTGTATCTCTCCCCGTGTGTCGCTCCCCGTGTGTCTCTCCCCGTGTCTCTCTCCCCGCGTGTCTCTCCCCGTGTCTCTCTCCCCGTGTCTCTCTCCCCGTGTCTCTCTCCCCGCGTGTCCCACTCACTCCACGTTGCGTGTCTCTCTCCGCGTGTCTCCGTGTCTCTCTCCCCGTGTCTCTCTCCCCGTGTCTCTCCCCCGTGTCTCTCTCCCCGTGTCTCTCTCCCCGTGTCTCCGTGTTTCTCTCCCCGTGTCTCTCTCCCCGTGTCTCTCTCCCTGCGTGTCTCCGTGTCTCTCTCCCCGCGTGTCTCCGTGTCTCTCTCCCCGTGTCTCTCTCCCCGTGTCTCTCTCCCCGCGTGTCTCCGTGTCTCTCTCCCCGCGTGTCTCCGTGTCTCTCTCCCCGTGTCTCTCTCCCCGTGTCTCTCTCCCCGTGTCTCTCTCCCCGTGTCTCTCCCCCCGCGTGTCCCACTCACTCCACGTTGCGTGTCTCTCTCCGCGTGTCTCCGTGTCTCTCTCCCCGTGTCTCTCTCCCCGTGTCTCTCTCCCCGTGTCTCTCTCCCCGTGTCTCTCTCCCCGCGTGTCCCACTCACTCCACGTTGCGTGTCTCTCCCCGCGTGTCTCCGTGTCTCTCTCCCCGCGTCTCTCCGTGTCTCTCTCCCCGTGTCTCTCTCCCCGTGTCTCTCTCCCCGTGTCTCTCTCCCCGCGTGTCCCACTCATTCCACGTTGCGTGTCTCTCCCCGCGTGTCTCCGTGTCTCCGTGTCTCTCCCCGCGTGTCTCTCTTCCCACGTGTCCCACTCACTCCACGTTGCGTGTCTCTCTCCGCGTGTCTCCGTGTCTCTCTCCCCGTGTCTCTCTCCGCGTGTCTCCGTGTCTCCGTGTCTCTCTCCCCGTGTCTCTCTCCCCGCGTGTCCCACTCACTCCACGTTGCGTGTCTCTCTCCGCGTGTCTCCGTGTCTCCGTGTCTCCGCGCTCTGTGTAGACGAGGACAAACTCCCGCGCCTCCTCAGCAGCCTCGCTGCCCTGTCTCTCATCACGTGCTCCGACATCGCTAGACAACATCAACAACAACATCACCACCATCAACATCACCACCTTCAACAACATCATCACCACCATCACCACCACCACCATCATCACCATCATCATCACCATCATCATCACCACCATCATCACCATCATTAATATCAACATCACCACCTTCAACATCACCAACATCACCACCACCATCACCACCACCATCACCATCATCACCATCACCACCACCATCACCACCACCATCATCACCATCACCATCATCATAACCACCATCACCACGATCATTAATATCAACATCACCACCTTCAACATCACCAACATCAAGAACATCACCACCATCACCACCACCACCATCATCACTATCATCGTCACCATCATCATCACCACCATCAACATCACCAACATCAACACCATCATCACCACCATCATCATCACCACCACCATCATCACCATCATTAATATCAACATCACCACCATCAACATTCACACCATCATCATCACCACCATCAACATCACCACCATCAACAACACCATCACCACCATCAATATCAACACCAACATCCTTACCACCACCATCATCATCACCATCATTAACATCAACATCACCACCATCAACATCACCATCAGCATCACCACCATTATCATCATCACCACCATCAACATCACCATCAACATCACCACCATCACCACCATCAACATCACCACCATCAACATCACCACCATCAACATCACCACCATCAACATCACCACCATCAACATCATCATCAACATCATCATCAGCAGCAGCAATATCCTCATCATTACCATCATCACCACCACCATCATCATCATTAACGTCATCATAATCAGCAACATCACCATCATCAACATCACCACCATCATCAGCAACATCATCATTAACATCATCATCATCAGCAGCAGCGTGGTGAGGAGTTAACCTGGTGAGAAGTGAGTGGTGAGTGGTGAGTGAGTGGTGAGTGAGTGGTGAGTGGTGAGTGAGTGGTGAGTGAGTCGCGAGTGAGTAGTGAGTAGTGAGTGAGTGGTGAGTGGTGAGTGAGTGGTGAGTGAGTGAGTGGTGAGTGAGTGGTGAGTGAGTCGCGAGTGAGTAGTGAGTAGTGAGTGAGTGGTGAGTGAGTGGTGAGTGGTGAGTGAGTAGTGTGTGGTGAGTGAGTGGTGAGTGAGTAGTGTGTGGTGAGTGAGTGGTGAGTGAGTGAGTGAGTGGTGAGTGAGTGAGTAGTGTGTGGTGAGTGAGTGGTGAGTGAGTAGTGTGTGGTGAGTGAGTAGTGAGTGGTGAGTGAGTGGTGAGTGAGTAGTGTGTGGTGAGTGAGTAGTGAGTGGTGAGTGAGTGAGTGGTGAGTGAGTGAGTAGTGTGTGGTGAGTGAGTGGTGAGTGAGTAGTGTGTGGTGAGTGAGTAGTGAGTGGTGAGTGAGTGGTGAGTGAGTAGTGTGTGGTGAGTGAGTAGTGAGTGGTGAGTGAGTGAGTGAGTGGTGAGTGAGTGAGTGAGTGGTGAGTGAGTGGTGAGTGAGTAGTGTGTGGTGAGTGAGTAGTGAGTGGTGAGTGAGTAGTGAGTGGTGAGTGAGTAGTGAGTGGTGAATTTGTGGTGAGTGGTAAGTGAGTAGTGAGTGGTGAGTGAGTGGTGAGTGAGTGAGTAGTGAGTGGTGAGTGAGTGGTGAGTGAGTGGTGAGTGAGTAGTGAGTGGTGAGTGAGTGGTGGTGAGTAGTGAGTGGTGAGTGAGTGGTGGTGACTAGATTACCTGGTGGTGAGTGGTGGTGAGTAGTGGTGAGTAGCAAGTGGTGAGTGAGTAGACTACCTAGTGGTGGTGAGTAGTGGTGAGTGGTGGTGAGTAGTGGTGAGTGAGTAGTCTACCTGGTGGTGAGTAGTGGTGAGTAGTGGTGAGTGAGTAGACTACCTGGTGGTGAGTAGTGGTGAGTAGTGGTGAGTGAGTAGACTACCTGGTGGTGAGTAGTGGTGAGTAGTGGTGAGTGAGTAGACTACCTGGTGGTGAGTAGTGGTGAGTGAGTAGAGTACCTGGTGGTGAGTAGTGGTGAGTAGTGGTGAGTGAGTAGACTACCTGGTGGTGAGTAGTAGTGAGTAGTGGTGAGTAGTGGTGAGTGAGTAGAGTACCTGGTGGTGAGTAGTGGTGAGTAGTGGTGAGTGAGTAGACTACCTGGTGGTGAGTAGTGGTGAGCTGTGGTGAGTAGTGGTGAGTGAGTAGACTACCTGGTGGTGAGTAGTGGTGAGTGGTGGTGAGCTGTGGTGAGTAGTGGTGAGTAGTGGTGAGTGAGTAGACTACCTGGTGGTGAGTAGTGGTGAGCTGTGGTGAGTAGTGGTGAGCTGTGGTGAGTAGTGGTGAGTGAGTAGAGTACCTGGTGGTGAGTGGTGGTGAGTAGTGGTGAGAAGTGGTGAGTGTGGTGAGTAGTGGTGAGTAGTGGTGAGTGAGTAGAGTACTTGGTGGTGAGTGGTGGTGAGTAGTGGTGAGTAGTGGTGAGTGAGTAGAGTACCTGGTGGTGAGTAGTGGTGAGTAGTGGTGAGTAGTGGTGAGTGAGTAGAGTACCTGGTGGTGAGTAGTGGTGAGTGGTGGTGAGTAGTGGTGAGTAGTGGTGAGTGAGTAGAGTACCTGGTGGTGAGTAGTGGTGAGTGGTGGTGAGTGAGTAGACTACCTGGTGGTGAGTGGTGGTGAGTAGTGGTGAGTGAGTAGAGAACCTGGTGGTGAGTAGTGGTGAGTGGTGGTGAGTGAGTAGACTACCTGGTGGTGAGTGGTGGTGAGTAGTGGTGAGTAGTGGTGAGTGGTGGTGAGTGGTGGTGAGTAGTGGTGAGTGAGTAGACTACCTGGTGGTGAGTAGTGGTGGTGAGTAGTGGTGAGTAGTGGTGAGTGAGTAGACTACCTGGTGGTGAGTGGTGGTGAGTGGTGGTGAGTAGTGGTGAGTAGTGGTGAGTGAGTAGACTACCTGGTGGTGAGTAGTGGTGGTGAGTAGTGGTGAGTAGTGGTGAGTGGTGGTGAGTGAGTAGACTACCTGGTGGGAGTAGTGGTGAGCTCTGGTGAGTAGTGGTGAGTAGTGGTGAGTAGTGGTGAGTGAGTAGACTACCTGGTGGTGAGTAGTGGTGAGTAGTGGTGAGTGAGGAGAGTACCTGGTGGTGAGTAGTGGTGAGTGAGTAGAGTACCTGGTGGTGAGTAGTGGTGAGTAGTGGTGAGTAGTGGTGAGTGAGTAGAGTACCTGGTCGTGAGTAGTGGTGAGTAGTGGTGAGTAAGTAGACTACCTGGTGGTGAGTAGTGGTGAGTAGTGATGAGTGGTGGTGAGTGGTGGTGAGTAGTGGTGAGTGAGTAAACTACCTGATGGTGAGTAGTGGTGAGTGAGTAGACTACCTGGTGGTGAGTAGTGGTGAGTAGTGGTGAGTGGTGGTGAGTAGTGGTGAGTGGTGGTGAGTAGTGGTGAGTGGTGGTGAGTGGTGGTGAGTAGTGGTGAGCTGTGGTGAGTAGTGGTGAGTAGTGGTGAGTGAGTAAACTACCTGGTGGTGATTAGTGGTGAGTGGTGGTGAGTGAGTAGACTACCTGGTGGTGAGTAGTGGTGAGTGGTGGTGAGTAGTTTTGAGTAGTGGTGAGCTGTGGTGAGTAGTGGTGAGTAGTGGTGAGTGAGTAGACTACCTGGTGGTGAGTAGTGGTGGTGAGTAGTGGTGAGTGGTGGTGAGTAGTGGTGAGCTGTGTTGAGTAGTGGTGAGTGGTGGTGAGTAGTGGTGAGCTGTGGTGAGTAGTGGTGAGTAGTGGTGAGTGAGTAGACTACCTGGTGGTGAGTAGTGGTGGTGAGTAGTGGTGAGTGGTGGTGAGTAGTGGTGAGCTGTGGTGAGTAGTGGTGAGCTGTGGTGAGTGAGTAGAGTACCTGGTGGTGAGTAGTGGTGAGTGGTGGTGAGTAGTGGTGAGTGAGTAGTGGTGAGTGGTGGTGAGTAGTGGTGAGTGGTGGTGAGTAGTGGTGAGCGGTGGTGAGTAGTGGTGAGTAGTGGTGAGTGGTGGTGAGTAGTGGTGAGTGGTGGTGAGTGGTGGTGAGTAGTGGTGAGTGGTGGTGAGCTGTGGTGAGTAGTGGTGAGTAGTGGTGAGCTGTGGTGAGTGAGTAGAGTACCTGGTGGTGAGTAGTGGTGAGTGGTGGTGAGTAGTGGTGAGTGAGTAGTGGTGAGTGGTGGTGAGTAGTGGTGAGTGGTGGTGAGTAGTGGTGAGCTGTGGTGAGTAGTGGTGAGTGGTGGTGAGTAGTGGTGAGTAGTGGTGAGTGGTGGTGAGCTGTGGTGAGTAGTGGTGAGCTGTGGTGAGTAGTGGTGAGTAGTGGTGAGCTGTGGTGAGTAGTGGTGAGTGGTGGTGAGTAGTGGTGAGTAGTGGTGAGTGGTGGTGAGTAGTGGTGAGTAGTGGTGAGTGGTGAGTGAGTAGTGGTGAGTGGTGGTGAGCAGTGGTGAGTAGTGGTGAGTAGTGGTGAGTGGTGGTGAGTAGTGGTGAGTGGTGGTGAGTAGTGGTGAGTAGTGGTGAGTGGTGGTGAGTAGTGGTGAGTAGTGGTGAGTAGTGGTGAGTGGTGAGTGAGTAGTGGTGAGTGGTGGTGAGTAGTGGTGAGTGAGTAGACTACCTGGTGGTGAGTAGTGGTGGTGAGCTGTGGTGAGTAGTGGTGAGTAGTGGTGAGTAGTGGTGAGTAGTAGTGGTGAGTAGTGGTGAGTGGTGGTGAGTGGTGGTGAGTAGTGGTGAGTGGTGGTGAGTGGTGGTGAGTAGTAGTGGTGAGTAGTGGTGAGTAGTGGTGAGTGGTGGTGAGTGGTGGTGAGTAGTGGTGAGTAGTGGTGAGTGGTGGTGAGTAGTGGTGAGTAGTGGTGAGTGGTGGTGAGTGGTGGTGAGTAGTGGTGAGTGGTGGTGAGTGGTGGTGAGTAGTGGTGAGCTGTGGTGAGTAGTGGTGAGTGGTGGTGAGTAGTGGTGAGTAGTGGTGAGCTGTGGTGAGTGAGTAGAGTACCTGGTGGTGAGTAGTGGTGAGTGGTGGTGAGTGGTGGTGAGTAGTGGTGAGCTGTGGTGAGTGAGTAGAGTACCTGGTGGTGAGTGGTGGTGAGTGGTGGTGAGTGGTGGTGAGTGTGGTGAGTAGTGGTGAGTAGTGGTGAGTAGTGGTGAGTGGTGGTGAGTGGTGGTGAGTAGTGGTGAGCTGTGGTGAGTAGTGGTGAGTGGTGGTGAGTAGTGGTGAGTAGTGGTGAGCTGTGGTGAGTGAGTAGAGTACCTGGTGGTGAGTAGTGGTGAGTGGTGGTGAGTGGTGGTGAGTAGTGGTGAGCTGTGGTGAGTGAGTAGAGTACCTGGTGGTGAGTGGTGGTGAGTGGTGGTGAGTGGTGGTGAGTGTGGTGAGTAGTGGTGAGTGGTGGTGAGTGTGGTGAGTAGTGGTGAGTAGTGGTGAGTGGTGGTGAGTAGTGGTGAGTAGTGGTGAGTGGTGGTGAGTAGTGGTGAGTAGTGGTGAGTAGTGGTGAGTGGTGGTGAGTGGTGGTGAGTGGTGGTGAGTGGTGGTGAGTAGTGGTGAGTAGTGGTGAGCTGTGGTGACGATGCCGTCTTCCGCCAGACCGCTGGGCTGCGTAGCAACACCAGACGCCGCGTCTCCATGGCAACGGGGCCACGCCCCCTCCCTCTATGAAGTGGCTTCGCCAAACGCCCTCAGGGCATCTTTTTGCTTTGCTCGCCGCCACAAGCAAGCGGTAGTGAAGCCTTGAGGGCAGTTAGCGCATCTGTTTTTGTCTCTCTAACAGAATGTCATTCGAAATGAGCTTAAACTTTAACACAAATCATTGACGAGCTGTTCCGTTCGGTTTATTTTATTCAACGACAAAATATTTAATACAACAAAATATTTTAATATAACGAACAAAACATTAACTATAGCAAGAACATATTTAATTTAACAGCAAAATATTTAATTTAACAACAAAATATTTAATATAACAAAACATTTAATACAACAAACATAATATTTAATATAACAAAATGGGTCTCTGTGAGGTGAGTCTATGGGTCTCTGTGTGGTGAGTCTGTGGGTTCTCTGTGTGGTGAGTCTGTGGGTCTCTGTGGTGAGTCTATGGGTCTCTATGTGGTGAGTCTATGGGCCTTTGTGTGGTGAGTCTATGGGTCTCTGTGTGGTGAGTCTGTGTGTCTCTGTGTGGTGAGTCTATGGGTCTCTGTGTGGTGAGTCTGTGGGTCTCTGTGTGGTGAGTCTATGGGTCTCTGTGTGGTGAGTCTATGGGTCTCTGTGTGGTGAGTCTATGGGTCTCTGTGTGGTGAGTCTATGGGTCTGTGTGGTGAGTCTGTGGGTCTCTGTGTGAGTGAGTCTATGGGTCTCTCTGTGAGTCTATGGGTGTCTGTGCGAGTGAGTCTGTGGGTCTCTGTGCGAGTGAGTCTATGGGTCTCTGTGTGAGTGAGTCTATGGGTCTCTGTGTGAGTGAGTCTATGGGTCTCTGTGTGAGTCTATGGGTCTCTGTGTGAGTGAGTCTATGGGTCTCTGTGTGAGTGAATCTATGGGTCTCTGTGTGGTGAGTCTATGGGTCTCTGTGTGGTGAGTCTATGGGTCTCTGTGTGGTGAGTCTATGGGTCTGTGTGGTGAGTCTGTGGGTCTCTGTGTGAGTGAGTCTATGGGTCTCTGTGTGAGTCTATGGCTCTCTCTGTGTGAGTCTGTGGGTCTCTGTGTGGTGAGTCTGTGGGTCTCTGTGTGGTGAGTCTATGGGTCTCTGTGTGGTGAGTCTATGGGTCTCTGTGTGGTGAGTCTGTGGGTATCTGTGTGGTGAGTCTGTGGGTCTCTGTGTGGTGAGTCTATGGGTCTCTGTGTGGTGAGTCTGTGGGTATCTGTGTGGTGAGTCTGTGGGTCTCTGGTGAGTCTGTGGGTCTCTGTGTGGTGAGTCTGTAGGTCTCTATGAGTCTGTGGGTCTCTGAGTCCATAAATACTGATTCAATTGTATACGTACGCGATGACGTCACCGCGCCGGTACGCGATGACGTCACGCGCACAACTCGCTGTTAAAGCTGTGCGCGATGACGTCGCCTTGAGACCCGTTGTGCTTGATTACGTCACTGCGCTGGTACGTGGTGACGTTGACACGCACGACCAACCCCCTCTGTGATCGTGACGTGATCACGCATAGTCCCATCCTCCTGCGACAGCGACGTCACCACGCACTCTCTCCGCGGAATGACGTCACCACGCACTGTCATCGCGAGTACGTCACCACGCACTGTCACCGCGGGAGCGACGTCACCACGCACTCACCCCCTCCGCGAGAATGACGTCACCACGCACTCAACCGCGCTAGCAACGTCACCACGCACTCACCCCCTCCGCGCGGCGACGTCACCACGCACTTACCCCCTCCGCGCGAGCGACGTCACCACGCAACTCTCTGCGCGAGCCTCGTCACCACGCACTCTCACCGCGCGAGCGACGTCACCACGCACTCACCCCCCTCCGCGCGAGCGACGTCACCACGCACTCTCAACCGCGCGTTTAACGTCACCACGCACGTTACGCGGTGACGTCACGATCCCCGCTCTCCCTCCCTCCGTCTCTCTGCTGTTTCCCGCCCACTCGCCTCTCGCCCTTTCTCTCCTCCCGCTCGCGTCTCCCGCCGCCTCTCGCTCCTCCTCCTCCACCTCGTGGTGGTTGTTGTAGTCCACCTCTTTGTGCGTGTAGTGGTGGTGGTTGTAGTTGTTGTTGTAGTAGTTGTTGTTGTTGTAGTTTACCTCAGACGATGTCGGCCATCAAATGTCTGAACCCCAAGGCGGAGGTGGCCCGGGCACAAGCGGCGCTCGCCGTGAACGTGAGCGCCGCGCGCGGCCTCCAAGACGTCTTGAGGAGCAATCTCGGGCCTAAGGGAACCCTTAAGATGTGAGTGGCTCACTCGCCATCACTCACCGCCTCACTCACCACTACACTCACCACTACACTCACCATCACACTCACCATCACACTCACCACTACACTCGCTTCACTCACCATCACTCACCACTACACTCACCTCACCGCTATACTCACCATCACTCACCATCACTCTCACCACTACACTCACCATCACTCACCATCACACTCACCATCACTCACCACCTCACTCACCACTACACTCACCACCACACTCACCACCACACTCACCACTACACTCACCACTACACTCACCATCACTCACCACCTCACTCACCAACAGTCACCATCACTCACCATCACTCACCACTACACTCACCACTATACTCACCATCACTCACCATCACTCACCACTACACTCACCAACAGTCACCACTACACTCACCAACAGTCACCATCACTCACCAACAGTCACCACTACACTCACCATCACTCACCACTACACTCACCTCTACACTCACCATCACTCACCACTACACTCACCATCACCACTACTCTCACCCATCACCACGACTACCATCACCACGACTACCATCACCACCTCACCCATCACCACGACTATCACCACAACTACCATCACCACCTCACCCATCACCACGACTACCATCACCACAACTACCATCACCACGACTACCATCACCACCTCACCCATCACCACGACTACCATCACCACAACTACCATCACCACGACTACCATCACCACGACTACCATCACCACAACTACCATCACCACCTCACCCATCACCACAACTACCATCACCACGACTACCATCACCACCTCACTCACCCATCACCACAACTACCATCACCATGACTACCATCACCACAACTACCATCACTACCATCACCATGACTACCATCACCACGACCGTTCTCTCTCTCGCTGTCACCTCCCTTCATCCCTCCCATCCCTCCTCGTTTCCTTCTCTCTGTCATTCCTCTATTCATTCCTCTTGAGTATTCATTCCTCCATTCATTCATTCCCCTCTTTGTCATCTCTCCTACCCCTCCCCTCGTTTCATTCATTTACCCACTCATCAACTCATTCACCCCACCCATCAACTCATTCACCCACCCATCAACTCATTCACCCCACCCATCAACTCATTCACCCACCCACCAACTCATTCACCCCACCCATCAACTCATTCACCCACGCATCAACTCATTCACCCCACCCATCAACTCATTCACCCACCCATCAACTCATTCACCACACCCATTCATTCACCCACCCATCAACTCATTCACCCACCCATCAACTCATTCACCCACCCATCACCTCATTCACCCCACCCATTCATTCACCCAACCATCAACTCATTCACCCCACCCATTCATTCACCCACCCATCAACTCATTCACCCACCCATCATGATGATAGCTTACCGGTGAAATCTCCACTCACGTGGTGGTGTATTATGATTATTAAACCTGCGTTTCATTCAATCATTCCCTCCTTCATTCTCCCCAACCCATCAACTCATTCACCCCACCCCATGGTCATACAGACCAACGGGTCTGTAGACCACGTGGGGCTCACAGCCGCATGGCCCAACCGCCTCCCCATTGGCCACCGCGGCGGTCACGTGCCCGGGGGAGGGGGGTGCCCGCCAGCCAATGGGGAGGCCGCGCCGCGCCCATCCGCTGTGGGAATTCCAAAATCTGCGCCCCGCGAGAAGCTTCCAGAAGCCGCTTCTGGGCGAGGCGCCGGGAGCGAAACGTCGCCGCCAAGGCCACGTGGGGGGGGGGGAGGGGGCATAGTCGCTCAGTGGTCGATTAAGTCACTCAGTGGTTGATTCCAGTCACTCAGTCATTAAGTCACTCAGTGGTTGAGTCAGTCATTAAGTCACTCAGTCATTAAGTTACTCAGTCATTAAGTCACTCAGTGGTTGATTCAGTCACTCAGTCATTAAGTCACTCACTGGTTGATTCAGTCACTCAGTCATTAAGTCACTCAGTCATTAAGTCACTCAGTGGTTGATTCAGTCACTCAGTCATTAAGTCACTCACTGGTTGATTCAGTCACTCAGTCATTAAGTCACTCACTGGTTGATTCAGTCACTCAGTCATTAAGTCACTCAGTGGTTGATTCAGTCACTCAGTCATTAAGTCACTCACTGGTTGATTCAGTCACTCGGTCATTAAGTCACTCACTGGTTGATTCAGTCACTCGGTCATTAAGTCACTCAGTGGTTGATTTAGTCACTCAGTCATTAAGTCACTCAGTCATTAAGTCACTCAGTGGTTGATTCAGTCACTTAGTCATTAAGTCACTCACTGGTTGATTCAGTCACTCAGTCATTAAGTCACTCAGTCATTCAGTCACTCAGTCATTAAGTCACTCAGTCATTAAGTCACTCAGTGGTTGATTCAGTCACTCAGTCATTAAGTCACTGGTTGATTCAGTCAGTCATTAAGTCACTCAGTGGTTGATTCAGTCATTAAGTCACTCAGTGGTTGATTCAGTCACTCAGTCATTAAGTCACTCAGTGGTTGATTCAGTCACTCGGTCATTAAGTCACTCACTGGTTGATTCAGTCACTCGGTCATTAAGTCACTCACTGGTTGATTCAGTCACTCAGTCGTTCAGTCACTCACTGGTTGATTCAGTCACTCGGTCATTAAGTCACTCAGTGGTTGATTTAGTCACTCAGTCATTAAGTCACTCAGTCATTAAGTCACTCAGTGGTTGATTCAGTCATTAAGTCACTGGTTGATTCAGTCAGTCATTAAGTCACTCAGTGGTTGATTCAGTCATTAAGTCACTCAGTGGTTGATTCAGTCACTCAGTCATTAAGTCACTCAGTGGTTGATTCAGTCACTCAGTCATTAAGTCACTCACTGGTTGATTCAGTCACTCGGTCATTAAGTCACTCACTGGTTGATTCAGTCACTCGGTCATTAAGTCACTCACTGGTTGATTCAGTTACTCAGTCATTAAGTCACTCACTGGTTGATTCAGTCACTCAGTCGTTCAGTCACTCACTGGTTGATTCAGTCACTCGGTCATTAAGTCACTCACTGGTTGATTCAGTCACTCAGTCATTAAGTCACTCAGTCATTAAGTCACTCACTGGTTGATTCAGTCACTCACCGGTTGATTCAGTCACTCAGTCATTAAGTCACTCACTGGTTGATTCAGTCACTCAGTCATTAAGTCACTCAGTCATTCAGTCACTCAGTCATTAAGTCACTCAGTCATTAAGTCACTCAGTGGTTGATTGAGTCACTCAGTCATTAAGTCACTCAGTGGTTGATTCAGTCACTCAGTCATTAAGTCACTCAGTGGTTGATTCAGTCACTCAGTCATTAAGTCACTCACTGGTTGATTCAGTCACTCAGTCGTTCAGTCACTCACTGGTTGATTCAGTCACTCAGTCATTAAGTCACTCACTGGTTGATTCAGTCACTCAGTCATTAAGTCACTCAGTCATTAAGTCACTCAGTGGGTGATTCAGTCACTCAGTCATTAAGTCACTCACTGGTTGATTCAGTCACTCAGTCATTAAGTCACTCACTGGTTGATTCAGTCATTAAGTCACTCAGTGGTTGATTCAGTCACTCAGTCATTAAGTCACTCAGTGGTTGATTCAGTCACTTAGTCATTAAGTCACTCACTGGTTGATTCAGTCACTCAGTCGTTCAGTCACTCACTGGTTGATTCAGTCACTCGGTCATTAAGTCACTCAGTGGTTGATTCAGTCATTAAGTCACTCAGTGGTTGATTCAGTCACTCAGTCATTAAGTCACTCAGTGGTTGATTCAGTCACTCGGTCATTAAGTCACTCACTGGTTGATTCAGTCACTCGGTCATTAAGTCACTCACTGGTTGATTCAGTCACTCAGTCGTTCAGTCACTCACTGGTTGATTCAGTCACTCGGTCATTAAGTCACTCAGTGGTTGATTTAGTCACTCAGTCATTAAGTCACTCAGTCATTAAGTCACTCAGTGGTTGATTCAGTCACTTAGTCATTAAGTCACTCACTGGTTGATTCAGTCACTCAGTCATTAAATCACTCAGTCATTAAGTCACTCAGTCATTAAGTCACTCAGTGGTTGATTCAGTCACTCAGTCATTAAGTCACTGGTTGATTCAGTCAGTCATTAAGTCACTCAGTGGTTGATTCAGTCATTAAGTCACTCAGTGGTTGATTCCAGTCACTCAGTCATTAAGTCACTCAGTGGTTGAGTCAGTCATTAAGTCACTCAGTCATTAAGTTACTCAGTCATTAAGTCACTCAGTGGTTGATTCAGTCACTCAGTCATTAAGTCACTCACTGGTTGATTCAGTCACTCAGTCATTAAGTCACTCAGTCATTAAGTCACTCAGTGGTTGATTCAGTCACTCAGTCATTAAGTCACTCACTGGTTGATTCAGTCACTCAGTCATTAAGTCACTCACTGGTTGATTCAGTCACTCAGTCATTAAGTCACTCAGTGGTTGATTCAGTCACTCAGTCATTAAGTCACTCACTGGTTGATTCAGTCACTCGGTCATTAAGTCACTCACTGGTTGATTCAGTCACTCGGTCATTAAGTCACTCAGTGGTTGATTTAGTCACTCAGTCATTAAGTCACTCAGTCATTAAGTCACTCAGTGGTTGATTCAGTCACTTAGTCATTAAGTCACTCACTGGTTGATTCAGTCACTCAGTCATTAAGTCACTCAGTCATTCAGTCACTCAGTCATTAAGTCACTCAGTCATTAAGTCACTCAGTGGTTGATTCAGTCACTCAGTCATTAAGTCACTGGTTGATTCAGTCAGTCATTAAGTCACTCAGTGGTTGATTCAGTCATTAAGTCACTCAGTGGTTGATTCAGTCACTCAGTCATTAAGTCACTCAGTGGTTGATTCAGTCACTCGGTCATTAAGTCACTCACTGGTTGATTCAGTCACTCGGTCATTAAGTCACTCACTGGTTGATTCAGTCACTCAGTCGTTCAGTCACTCACTGGTTGATTCAGTCACTCGGTCATTAAGTCACTCAGTGGTTGATTTAGTCACTCAGTCATTAAGTCACTCAGTCATTAAGTCACTCAGTGGTTGATTCAGTCATTAAGTCACTGGTTGATTCAGTCAGTCATTAAGTCACTCAGTGGTTGATTCAGTCATTAAGTCACTCAGTGGTTGATTCAGTCACTCAGTCATTAAGTCACTCAGTGGTTGATTCAGTCACTCAGTCATTAAGTCACTCACTGGTTGATTCAGTCACTCGGTCATTAAGTCACTCACTGGTTGATTCAGTCACTCGGTCATTAAGTCACTCACTGGTTGATTCAGTTACTCAGTCATTAAGTCACTCACTGGTTGATTCAGTCACTCAGTCGTTCAGTCACTCACTGGTTGATTCAGTCACTCGGTCATTAAGTCACTCACTGGTTGATTCAGTCACTCAGTCATTAAGTCACTCAGTCATTAAGTCACTCACTGGTTGATTCAGTCACTCACCGGTTGATTCAGTCACTCAGTCATTAAGTCACTCACTGGTTGATTCAGTCACTCAGTCATTAAGTCACTCAGTCATTCAGTCACTCAGTCATTAAGTCACTCAGTCATTAAGTCACTCAGTGGTTGATTGAGTCACTCAGTCATTAAGTCACTCAGTGGTTGATTCAGTCACTCAGTCATTAAGTCACTCAGTGGTTGATTCAGTCACTCAGTCATTAAGTCACTCACTGGTTGATTCAGTCACTCAGTCGTTCAGTCACTCACTGGTTGATTCAGTCACTCAGTCATTAAGTCACTCACTGGTTGATTCAGTCACTCAGTCATTAAGTCACTCAGTCATTAAGTCACTCAGTGGGTGATTCAGTCACTCAGTCATTAAGTCACTCACTGGTTGATTCAGTCACTCAGTCATTAAGTCACTCACTGGTTGATTCAGTCATTAAGTCACTCAGTGGTTGATTCAGTCACTCAGTCATTAAGTCACTCAGTGGTTGATTCAGTCACTTAGTCATTAAGTCACTCACTGGTTGATTCAGTCACTCAGTCGTTCAGTCACTCACTGGTTGATTCAGTCACTCGGTCATTAAGTCACTCAGTGGTTGATTCAGTCATTAAGTCACTCAGTGGTTGATTCAGTCACTCAGTCATTAAGTCACTCAGTGGTTGATTCAGTCACTCGGTCATTAAGTCACTCACTGGTTGATTCAGTCACTCGGTCATTAAGTCACTCACTGGTTGATTCAGTCACTCAGTCGTTCAGTCACTCACTGGTTGATTCAGTCACTCGGTCATTAAGTCACTCAGTGGTTGATTTAGTCACTCAGTCATTAAGTCACTCAGTCATTAAGTCACTCAGTGGTTGATTCAGTCACTTAGTCATTAAGTCACTCACTGGTTGATTCAGTCACTCAGTCATTAAATCACTCAGTCATTAAGTCACTCAGTCATTAAGTCACTCAGTGGTTGATTCAGTCACTCAGTCATTAAGTCACTGGTTGATTCAGTCAGTCATTAAGTCACTCAGTGGTTGATTCAGTCATTAAGTCACTCAGTGGTTGATTCAGTCACTCAGTCATTAAGTCACTCAGTGGTTGATTCAGTCACTCAGTCATTAAGTCACTCACTGGTTGATTCAGTCACTCGGTCATTAAGTCACTCACTGGTTGATTCAGTCACTCGGTCATTAAGTCACTCACTGGTTGATTCAGTTACTCAGTCATTAAGTCACTCACTGGTTGATTCAGTCACTCAGTCGTTCAGTCACTCACTGGTTGATTCAGTCACTCGGTCATTAAGTCACTCACTGGTTGATTCAGTCACTCAGTCATTAAGTCACTCAGTCATTAAGTCACTCAGTCATTAAGTCACTCACTGGTTGATTCAGTCACTCACCGGTTGATTCAGTCACTCAGTCGTTCAGTCACTCACCGGTTGATTCAGTCACTCGGTCATTAAGTCACTCAGTGGTTGATTTAGTCACTCAGTCATTAAGTCACTCAGTCATTAAGTCACTCAGTGGTTGATTCAGTCACTTAGTCATTAAGTCACTCACTGGTTGATTCAGTCACTCAGTCATTAAGTCACTCAGTCATTAAGTCACTCAGTCATTAAGTCACTCAGTGGTTGATTCAGTCACTCAGTCATTAAGTCACTGGTTGATTCAGTCAGTCATTAAGTCACTCAGTGGTTGATTCAGTCATTAAGTCACTCAGTGGTTGATTCAGTCACTCAGTCATTAAGTCACTCAGTGGTTGATTCAGTCACTCAGTCATTAAGTCACTCACTGGTTGATTCAGTCACTCGGTCATTAAGTCACTCACTGGTTGATTCAGTCACTCGGTCATTAAGTCACTCACTGGTTGATTCAGTTACTCAGTCATTAAGTCACTCACTGGTTGATTCAGTCACTCAGTCGTTCAGTCACTCACTGGTTGATTCAGTCACTCGGTCATTAAGTCACTCACTGGTTGATTCAGTCACTCAGTCATTAAGTCACTCAGTCATTAAGTCACTCAGTCATTAAGTCACTCACTGGTTGATTCAGTCACTCACCGGTTGATTCAGTCACTCAGTCATTAAGTCACTCACTGGTTGATTCAGTCACTCAGTCATTAAGTCACTCAGTCATTCAGTCACTCAGTCATTAAGTCACTCAGTCATTAAGTCACTCAGTGGTTGATTCAGTCACTCAGTCATTAAGTCACTCAGTGGTTGATTCAGTCACTCAGTCATTAAGTCACTCAGTGGTTGATTCAGTCACTCAGTCATTAAGTCACTCACTGGTTGATTCAGTCACTCAGTCGTTCAGTCACTCACTGGTTGATTCAGTCACTCAGTCATTAAGTCACTCACTGGTTGATTCAGTCACTCAGTCATTAAGTCACTCAGTCATTAAGTCACTCAGTGGGTGATTCAGTCACTCAGTCATTAAGTCACTGGTTGATTCAGTCACTCAGTCATTAAGTCACTCAGTGGTTGATTCAGTCATTAAGTCACTCAGTGGTTGATTCAGTCACTCAGTCATTAAGTCACTCAGTGGTTGATTCAGTCACTTAGTCATTAAGTCACTCACTGGTTGATTCAGTCACTCAGTCGTTCAGTCACTCACTGGTTGATTCAGTCACTCAGTCATTAAGTCACTCAGTCATTAAGTCACTCAGTCATTAAGTCACTCAGTCATTAAGTCACTCAGTGGTTGATTCAGTCACTCAGTCATTAAGTCACTCACTGGTTGATTCAGTCACTCAGTCATTAAGTCACTCAGTGGTTGATTCAGTCATTAAGTCACTCAGTGGTTGATTCAGTCACTCAGTCATTAAGTCACTCAGTGGTTGATTTAGTCACTCAGTCATTAAGTCACTCAGTCATTAAGTCACTCAGTGGTTGATTCAGTCACTTAGTCATTAAGTCACTCACTGGTTGATTCAGTCACTCAGTCATTAAGTCACTCACTGGTTGATTAAGTCACTCGGTCATTAAGTCACTCAGTGGTTGATTCAGGCACTCAGTCATTAAGTCACTCAGTGGTTGATTCAGTCACTCAGTCATTAAGTCACTCACTGGTTGATTCAGTCACTCAGTCATTAAGTCACTCACTGGTTGATTCAGTCACTCAGTGGTTGATTCAGTCACTCACAGGTTGATTCAGTCACTCGCTGGTTGATTCAGTCACTCAGTCATTAAGTCACTCAGTGGTTGATTCAGTCATTCACTGGTTGATTCAGTCACTCAGTCATTAAGTCATGTATTCATAATAATATTCAGTCATGTGAGTGTGGTGAGTAACTCTGTGTGTGTCCCAGGCTTGGTGAGTGGTTGTGGTGAGTTGTTGTGGTGCATGTGGTGAGTGGTTGTGGTGAGTAACTGTGGTGAGTAACTATCTGTGTATGGTGTCCCAGGCTGGTGATTGTGGGGAGTGGTTGCGGTGAGTGTGGTGAGTGGTTGTGGTGAGTAACTATCTGTGTGTATTGTGTCCCAGGCTGGTGATTGTGGTGAGTGGTTGTGGTGAGTGTGGTGAGTGAGTGTGGTGAGTAACTCTGTGTATGTGGTGAGTGTGGTGAGTAACTGTGTGTGGTGAGTGGTTGTGGTGAGTGTGGTGAGTGAGTGTGGTGAGTAACTCTGTGTGTGGTGAGTGTGGTGAGTGAGTGTGGTGAGTAACTGTGTGTGTGGTGAGTGAGTGTGGTGAGTAACTGTGTGTGTGGTGAGTGTGGTGAGTGAGTGTGGTGAGTAACTGTGTGTGTGGTGTCCCAGGCTGGTGAGTGTGCTGAGTGTGGCGAGTAACTCTCTGTGAGTGGTGAGTGTGGTGAGTAACTATCTGCGTGTGGTTGTGGTGAGTGTGGTGAGTGTGGTGAGTAACTATCTGTGTGTGTGTGTCCCAGGCTGGTGAGTGTGGTGAGTGGTTGTGGTGAGTGAGTGTGGTGAGTAACTATCTGTGTGTGTGTGTGGTTGTGGTGAGTGAGTGTGGTGAGTAACTCTGTGAGTGGTGAGTGTGGTGAGTAACTATCTGTGTGTGGTTGTGGTGAGTGTGGTGAGTGTGGTGAGTGTGTGGTGAGTAACTATCTGTGTGTGTGTGTCCCAGGCTGGTGAGTGTGGTGAGTGGTTGTGGTGAGTGTGGTGAGTGAGTGTGGTGAGTAACTATCTGTGTGTGTGTGTGTGTGGTTGTGGTGAGTGAGTGTGGTGAGTAACTCTGAGTGGTGAGTGTGGTGAGTAACTCTCTCTATCTGTGTGTGTGGTGTCCCAGGCTGGTGTCTGGCGCTGGAGACATCAAACTCACCAAGGATGGCAACGTCCTGCTGCACGAGATGGTGACTACCACAACAACCACAACAACAACAACCACAACAACCACTACCACAACAACCACTACCACAACAACCACTACCACCACTACCACAACAACAACCACAACTACAACAACAACCACAACAACAACCACAACAACCACTACCACAACAACCACTACCACAACAACCACTACCACCACTACCACAACAACAACCACAACAACAACCACAACTACAACAACAACAACCACAACAACCACTACCACAACAACCACTACCACAACAACCACTACCACCACTACCACAACAACAACCACAACAACAACCACAACTACAACAACAACCACAACAACAACCACAACAACCACTACCACAACAACCACTACCACAACTACTACCACAACAACTACCACAACAACCACAACAACAACCACTACCACAACAACCACAACAACTACCACAACAACCACTACTACAACAACAACCACAACTACTACCACAACAACCACAACAACAACAACCACAACAACAACTACTACAACAACCACAACAACTACCACAACCACCACTACCACAACAACCACAACAACCACCACTACCACAACAACAACTACCACAACAACCACTACCACAACTACCACAACAACAACCACCACAACAACTACCACAACAACTACCACAACAACCACAACCACTACAACCACAACTACCACAACAACCACAACAACCACAACCACCACTACCACAACTACCACAACAACAACCACTACCACAACAACTACCACAACAACCACAACAACCACAATAACAACTACCGCAACAACCACAACAACTACCACAACAACCACAACAACTACCACCACAACCACAACAACTACCACAACAACCACTACCACAACAACCACTACCACAACAACCACTACCACAACAACCACTACCACAACTACCACTACCACAACAACCACTACCACAACCACCACAACCACAACAACCACAACCACCACTACCACAACAACCACTACCACAACCACCACTACCACAACCACCACTACCACAACAACCACTACAACTACCAACAACAACTACAACTAGAACAACAATTACCACTACTACTACCACTACAACCACTACTACTACCACTATAACTACCACTACTACTATCACAACAACTACCACTACTACTACCACTACTACCATTACTACTACGACCACTACTACCACTATAACTACCACTTATTACTACTACCACTACTACCACTACTTCTACCACAACAACTACTACTACTGCTACTATTACTACTGCTGCTACTACTGCTACTACTACCACTACTACTACCACTGCTAGCACTACTACTACCACTACTACTACTACCACTACTGCTACTACCACTACTACTACCACTACTACTACCACTACTACTACCACCACTACTACTACCACTACTACTACCACTATGTGCGGGTGGGTGAGTGAGTGAGTGTATGGGTGAGCAAGTGAGCATGTGGGTAAGCGGGTGAGCATGTGGGTGGGCGGGTGAGCGTGCGGGTGAGTGTGCGGGTGAGCGGGTGAGTGTGTGGGTGAGCGTGTGGGTGTGCGGTTGAGCGGGTGAGCGTGCGGGTGAGTGTGCGGGTGAGCGGGTGAGTGAGTGGGTGAGCGGGTGAGCGTGTGGGTGTGCGGGTGAGCATGCGGGTGAGTGAGTGGGTGAGCGTGTGGGTGAGCGTGTGGGTGAGCGTGTGGGTGAGTGTGTGGGTGAGTGTGTGGGTGAGTGTGTGGGTGAGCGGGTGAGTGTGTGGGTGAGCGGGTGAGTGTATGGGTGAGCGTGCGGGTGAGTGTATGGGTGAGCGTGCGGGTGAGCGTGTGAGCGTGTGGGTGAGCGGGTGGGTGAGTGTATGGGTGAGCGTGCGGGTGAGCGTGTGAGCGTGTGGGTGAGCGGGTGGGTGAGCAGGTGTGTGTATGGGTAAGCGGGTGGGTGAGCGTGTTGGTGAGCGTGTGGGTGAGCGTGTGGGTGAGCGTGTGGGTGAGCGTGTGGGTGAGTGTGTGGGTGAGCGGGTGAGTGTATGGGTGAGCGTGTGGGTGAGCGTGTGGGTGAGTGTGTGGGTGAGCGTGCGGGTGAGCGTGTGAGCGTGTGGGTGAGCGTGTGGGTGAGCGGGTGAGCGTGCGGGTGAGCGTGTGAGCGTGTGGGTGAGCGTGTGGGTGAGCGTGTGGGTGAGCGTGTGGGTGAGTGTGTGGGTGAGCGGGTGAGCGTGTGGGTGAGCGTGTGGGTGAGCGAGATGGTGAGCGAGATGGTGAGCCCTGCCCCCACCCCCCCCCAGCAAATCCAGCACCCGACGGCATCGCTCATCGCCAAGGCAGCGACGGGTCAGGACGACGTGACGGGAGACGGGACCACCTCGTCCGTGCTGCTCATCGGAGAGCTGCTCAAGCAGGCCGACGCTCTCATCTCAGAGGTGAGCCCTCGCTCACCGGCACGCTCACCGGCACGCTCACCAGCACGCTCACCAACTCGCTCACCGGCACGCTCACCGGCACGCTCACCGGCACGCTCACCAACTCGCTCACCGGCACGCTCACCGGCACGCTCACCAGCACGCTCACCGGCACGCTCACCAGCACGCTCACCGGCACGCTCACCAGCACGCTCACCAGCACGCTCACCAACTCGCTCACTGGCACGCTCACCAGCACGCTCACCAACTCGCTCACCGGCACGCTCACCAGCACGCTCACCAGCACGCTCACCGGCACGCTCACCGGCACGCTCACCAGCACGCTCACCGGCACGCTCACCAGCACGCTCACCAGCACGCTCACCAACTCGCTCACCGGCACGCTCACCAGCACGCTCACCAACTCGCTCACCAGCACGCTCACCGGCACGCTCACCAACTCGCTCACCGGCACGCTCACCAGCACGCTCACCAGCACGCTCACCAACTCGCTCACCGGCACGCTCACCGGCACGCTCACCAGCACGCTCACCAGCACGCTCACCGGCACGCTCACCAGCACGCTCACCAGCACGCTCACCAGCACGCTCACCAGCACGCTCACCGGCACGCTCACCGGCACGCTCACCAACTCGCTCACCAGCTCGCTCACCAACTCGCTCACCAGCTCGCTCACCAACTCGCTCACCAGCACGCTCACCAGCACGCTCACCAACTCGCTCACCGGCACGCTCACCAGCACGCTCACCAGCACGCTCACCAGCACGCTCACCAGCACGCTCACCGGCACGCTCACCGGCACGCTCACCAACTCGCTCACCAGCTCGCTCACCAGCACGCTCACCAACTCGCTCACCAACTCGCTCACCAACTCGCCCACCAACTCGCTCACCAACTCGCTCACCAACTCGCCCACCAACTCGCTCACCAACTCGCTCACCAACTCGATCACTCGCCCACCAACTCGCTCACCAGCTCGCTCACCAGCTCGCTCACCAGCTCGCTCACCAGCTCGCTCGCTCGTCTACCCACTCGCCGTGCTACTGTGTGGGCGACTCTGTGGGTGACTGTGTGTGTGGGCGACTGTGTGGGTGACTGTGTGCGTGGGCGACTGTGTGGGTGACTGTGTGCGTGGGCGACTCTGTGGGTGACTGTGTGTGTGGGCGACTCTGTGGGTGACTGTGTGTGTGGGCGACTCTGTGGGTGACTGTGTGCGTGGGCGACTCCGCAGGGCGTCCACCCTCGCCTGGTGACGGAGGGGATTGAGGCTGCCCGTGACCGTGCCCTGCAGCTGCTGGACTCTGTGAGGGAGTCGTCCTCCATGCCGAGGGACACCCTCGTGGAAGTCGCCCGCTCCTCCCTCCGCACCAAAGTCACCCGCAGCCTGGCAGACATCCTCACTGAGGTGGGTGGCACGCACTGTGTGTGGTACACACAGCATGGTACACACACTGTGTGTGTGTACCATGCTGTGTGTGGTACACACAGCATGGTACACACACTGTGTGTGTGTGGTACACACACTGTGTGTGTGTACCACACACACACTGTGTGTGTGTGTGGTACACACACTGTGTGTGTGTACCACACACACTGTGTGTGTGTGGTACACACACTGTGTGTGTGTACCACACACACAGTGTGTGTGTGGTACACACAGTGTGTGGTACACACAGTGTGTGGTACACACAGTGAGTGGTACACACAGTGTACCACACACACAGTGTGTGTGGTACACAGTGTGTGGTACACACTGTGTACCACACACACAGTGTGTGTGGTACACAGTGTGTGGTACACACTGTGTACCACACACACAGTGTGTGTGTGGTACACAGTGTGTGGTACACACAGTGTGGTACACAGTGTGTGTACCACACTGTGTACCACACAGTGTGGTACACAGTGTGTGTACCACACTGTGTACCACACAGTGTGGTACACTGTGTGTGGTACACAGTGTGGTACACACAGTGTGGTACACACAGTGTGGTACACAGTGTGTGGTACACACAGTGTGGTACACAGCGTGGTACACAGTGTGTGGTACACAGTGTGTGGTACACACAGTGTGGTACACACAGTGTGGTACACACAGTGTGGTACACACAGTGTGTGGTACACACAGTGTGGTACACAGCGTGGTACACAGTGTGTGGTACACAGTGTGTGGTACACACAGTGTGGTACACACAGCATGGTACACACAGTGTGTGTACCACACTGTGTGTACCACACGCTGTGTGGTACACACAGTGTGTGGTACACACAGCGTGGTACACACAGCGTGTGGTACACACAGTGTGTGGTACACACAGCGTGGTACACACAGCGTGTGGTACACACAGTGTGGTATACACAGTGTGGTACACACAGTGTAGTACACACAGCGTGGTACACAGTGTGTGGTACACACAGTGTGGTACACACAGTGTGGTACACACAGCGTGTGGTACACACAGTGTGGTACACACAGCGTGGTACACACACAGTGTGTGGTACACACAGCGTGTGGTACACACAGTGTGTGGTACACAGTGTGGTACACACAGTGTGGTACACACAGTGTGGTACACACAGCGTGTTGTACACACAGTGTGGTACACAGTGTGTGGTACACACAGTGTGGTACACACAGCGTGGTACACACAGCGTGGTACACAGTGTGTTGTGGTGGTTACAGGTTGTGGATGTTGACGTGGTTGTTGTGGTTGTTGTGGTTGTGGTTGTTGTTACAGGCGGTTGTGGATGTTGACGTGGTTGTTGTGGTTGTTGTTGTTACAGGCGGTTGTGGATGTTGACGTGGTTGTTGTGGTTGTTGTTGTTACAGGCGGTTGTGGATGTTGACGTGGTTGTTGTGGTTACAGGCGGTTGTGGATGTTGACGTGGTTGTTGTGGTTGTTGTTACAGGCGGTTGTGGATGTTGACGTGGTTGTTGTGGTTGTTGTGGTTACAGGCGGTTGTGGATGTTGACGTGGTTGTTGTTGTGGTTGTTGTTACAGGTTGTGGTTGTTGTGGTTGTGGTTACAGGCGGTTGTGGATGTTGACGTGGTTGTTGTGGTTGTGGTTGTTGTTACAGGTTGTGGTTGTTGTGGTTGTGGTTGTTGTTACAGGCGGTTGTGGATGTTGACGTGGTAGTTGTGGTTGTTGTGGTTACAGGTTGTTGTGGTTGTGGTTACAGGCGGTTGTGGATGCGGTGTTGGCGGTGAGGAAGGAGGGAGAGCCAATTGACCTCTTCATGGTGGAGATCGTTGAGATGAAACATCGGACCGACTGTGACACTACGTGAGTTAACTACCACTACTACTACCTCTTAACTACCACTACTAACTACCACTAACTACTATACCACTAACTACCACCAACTACTATAACACTAACTACCACTACTACCAATACAACTACTAACTACCTCTTAACTACCACTACTAACTACCTCTTAACTACTATACCACTAACTACCACCAACTACTATAACACTAACTACCACTACTACCAATACAACTACTAACTACCTCTTAACTACCACTACTAACTACCTCTTAACTACCACTACTAACTACCACTACTAACTACCTCTTAACTACTATACCACTAACTACCACCAACTACTATAACACTAACTACCACTACTACCAATACAACTACTAACTACCTCTTAACTACCACTACTAACTACCTCTTAACTACCACTACTAACTACCACTACTAACTACCTCTTAACTACTATACCACTAACTACCACCAACTACTATAACACTAACTACCACTACTACCAATACAACTACTAACTACCTCTTAACTACCACTACTAACTACCTCTTAACTTCCACTACTAACTACCACTACTAACTACCTCTTAACTACTATACCACTAACTACCACCAACTACTATAACACTAACTACCACTACTACTACCTCTTAACTACCACTACTACTACCTCTTAACTACCACTACTAACTGCCACTAACTACTATACCACCAACTACTATAACACTAACTACCACTACTACTACCTCTTAACTACCACTACTAACTACCACTACTACTACCTCTTAACTACCACTACTAACTACCACTACTACCTCTTAACTACCGCTACTACTACCTCTTAACTACCACTACTACTACCTCTACTACTACCTCTTAACTACCACTACTACTACCTCTTAACTACCACTACTACTACCTCTACTACTACCTCTTAACTACCACTACTACCTCTTAACTACCACTACTACCTCTTAACTACCACTACTAACTACCACTACTAACTACCACTACTACTACCTCTTAACTACCACTACTACCTCTTAACTACCACTACTAACTACCACTAACTACTATACCACTAACTACCACCAACTACTATAACACTAACTACCACTACTACCAATACAACTACTAACTACCTCTTAACTACCATTACTACTACCTCTTAACTAAAACTACTAACTACTACTACCTCTTAACTACCACTACTACTACCTCTTAACTACCACTACTACTACCTCTTAACTACCACTACTACTACCTCTTAACTAAAACTACTAACTACCACTACTAACTACCTCTTAACTACCACTACTAACTACCTCTTAACTACCACTACTACTACCTCTTAACTACCACTACTACTACCTCTCAACTAAAACTACTAACTACCACTACTACTACCTCTTAACTACCACTACTACTACCTCTTAACTACCACTACTACTACCTCTTAACTACCGCTACTACTACCTCTTAACTACCACTACTACTACCTCTTAACTACCACTACTACTACCTCTTAACTACCACTACTAACTACCACTAACTACTATACCACTAACTACCACTACTACCACTAACTACCAATACAACTACTACTACCTCTTAATTACCACTACTAACTACCACTATTACTACAACTACTAACTACCACTACTACCATTAACTACCACTACAACTCCTACTTCTTAACTACCACTACTAACGACCACTACTAACTACCACTAACTTACAACTAACTACCACTACTAACTACTACTAACTATTACTACCACCAAGACCACCACAACCACTACCAACTACCAACAACTATCACTACCACCACTAACTTCCACTAACTACAATACCAGTATAACTACTACTAACTACTACTAACTACCACTACAAATACCATTACTACTACCACTAACTACCACTAAAATTACCACTAAAACTACCACTATAACTACCACTACTACTGCCACTACTACTCCCGCCACTACTACCACCGCTACTACTATCACCGCCACTACTACTACCGCCACTACTACTACTACCACTACTACTACTACCACTACTAGCACTACTACTACCACCACTACTACCACTACTACTACCACTACTACTACTACCACTACTACTACCACTACCACCACTACTACTACTACTACCACCACTACTACCACTACTACTACCACCACTACCACCACTACTACTAACTCACACAGTAGAGATGTGTGTGTGTGTCACTGTGTGTGTGTGTCACTGTGTGTGTGTGTGTCACTGTGTGTGTCACTGTGTGTTGTGTGTCACTGTGTGTTGTGTGTGTCACTGTGTGTGTGTCACTGTGTGTGTCACTGTGTGTGTCACTGTGTGTGTCACTGTGTGTGTCACTGTGTGTGTGTGTCACTGTGTGTGTGTCACTGTGTGGGGAGCGATAGTGTAGCGGTTAGCGCTACGCTGCGCTATGAACCTGGCGACCCGGGTTCGATTCCCGCTCACGGCCAACACCAGTGACGATTATCTGAACCGGTCCCGGGCCTCCCCTAGGTCGACTCAGCCTCAAATGAGTACCTGGTGCGGTGTGTAAACATCGCCACTAGGGAGACAAAGGCGGTCGGGCGTGGTGCTGGCCACCCACCCCCTCGTGTACCGTTCTGGCCTTCATAGGTGCTCGCTAACAGCACTTGCCCCTACAGTCTGTTACAGGCTATATGGGGGATCTTTGTCTTTTATCTTTGTGTCACTGTGTGTGTCAGTGTGTGTGTCACTGTGTGTGTGTGTCACTGTGTGTGTGTGTCACTGTGTGTCACTGTGTGTGTGTCACTGTGTATTGTGTCACTGTGTGTGTGTGTCACTGTGTATTGTGTCACTGCGTGTCACTGTGTGTCACTGTTACTGTGTGTGTGTCACTGTGTGTTACTGTGTGTGTGTCACTGTATGTGTGTGTGTGTCAGTGTAGGTGCTACTCACTACTGACAGCACTTGCCCCAACAGTCTGTTCAGGCTACTTTAGTGGTGATTTTTGTTGTTGTTGTTGACGTGGTTGTTGTTGTGGTTGTTGTTGACGTGGTTGTTGTTGTTGACGTGGTTGTTGTTGACGTGGTTGTTGTTGTGGTTGTTGTTGTTGACGTGGTTGTTGTTGTTGTTGACGTGGTTGTTGTTGTCGTGGTTGTTGTTGTGGTTGTTGTTGTTGACGTGGTTGTTGTTGTTGTTGACGTGGTTGTTGTTGACGTGGTTGTTGTTGACGTGGTTGTTGTTGACGTGGTTGTTGTTGTTGACGTGGTTGTTGTTGTTGTTGACGTGGTTGTTGTTGTTGTTGACGTGGTTGTTGTGGTTGTGGTTGTTGTTGTTGTTGACGTGGTTGTTGTTGTTGTTGTGTAGCTTGGTCCGTGGTCTGGTGCTGGACCATGGGGCAAGACACCCGGACATGAAGAAACGCGTGGAGAGAGCATTCATCCTGACGTGTAACGTGTCGCTGGAGTATGAGAAGAGGTGACGCTCACCACCACCACTCACCACCACTCACCAGCACTCACCAGCACTCACCACCACTCACCACCACTCACCACCACTCACCACCACTCACCACCACCACTCACCACCACCACTCACCACCACTCACCACCACTCACCACCACCACTCACCACCACTCACCACCACCACTCACCACCACTCACCACTCACCACCACTCACCACCACCACTCACGCGTGGAGAGAGCATTCATCCTGACGTGTAACGTGTCGCTGGAGTATGAGAAGAGGTGACGCTCACCACCACTCACCACCACCACTCACCACTCACTCACCACTCACTCACCACTCACCACCACCACTCACCACCACCACTCACCACCACTCACCACCACCACTCACCACTCTCGCGTGGAGAGAGCATTCATCCTGACGTGTAACGTGTCACTGGAGTATGAGAAGAGGTGACGCTCACCACCACTCACCACCACCACTCACCACCACTCACCACCACCACTCACCACCACTCACCACTCACCACCACTCACCACCACTCACCACCACCACTCACCAGCACTCACCACCAGCACTCACCACCACTCACCACCACTCACCACCACCACTCACCAGCACTCACCACCACCACTCACCACTCACCACCACTCACCACTCACGCGTGGAGAGAGCTTTCATCCTGACGTGTAACGTGTCGCTGGAGTATGAGAAGAGGTGACGCTCACCACCACTCACCACCACCACTCACCACCACTCACCAGCACTCACCACCACTCACCACCACTCACCAGCACCACTCACCAGCACCACCACTCACCACCACCACTCACCACCACTCACCAGCACTCACCACCACTCACCACCAGCACTCACCACCACTCACCACCACCACTCACCACCACTCTCCACCACTCACCACCACCACTCACCACCACTCACCACCACTCACCACCACCACTCACCACCACTCACCACCACCACTCACCACCGCTCACCACTCACCACCACTCACCACCACTCACCAGCACTCACCACGACCACTCACCACCACCACTCACCACCACCACTCACCACCACCACTCACCACCACTCACCAGCACTCACCAGCACCACTCACCACCACTAACCACTCACCACCACTCACCAGCACCACTCACCACCACTAACCACCACTCACCACCACTCACCAGCACCACTCACCACCACCACTCACCACCACCACTCACCACCACCACTAACCACCACTCACCACCACTCACCAGCACCACTCACCACCACCACTCACTACCACTCACCACCACTCACCACCACCACTCACCAGCACTCACCACTCACCACCACCACTCACCACCACCACTCACCACCACCACTCACCACCACCACTCACCACCACCACTCACCACCACCACTCACCACCACTCACCACCACTCACTCACCACCACTCACCACCACTCACCACCACCACTCACCACCACTCACCACCACTCACCACCACCACTCACCACCACTCACCACCACTCACCAGCACCACTCACCACCACTGACCACCACTCCCCACCACCACTCCCCACCAGCACTCACCACCACCACTCACCACCACCACTCACCACCACCACCACTCACCAGCACTCACCAGCACCACTCACCACCACCACTCACCAGCACTCACCACCACTCACCACCACCAGCACTCACCACCACCACTCACCACCACCACTCACCACCACCACTCACCACCACCACTCACCACCACTGTGTCTCACGCTGTGTGTGTGTCTCACGCTGTGTGTGTCTCTGTGTGTCACGCTGTGTGTGTCTCTGTGTGTCACGCTGTGTGTGTCTCTGTGTGTCACGCTGTGTGTGTGTGTGTCTCACGCTGTGTGTGTGTGTCTCACGCTGTGTGTGTGTCTCAAGTTGTGTGTCTCTGTGTGTCACGCTGTGTGTGTGTGTGTCTCACGCTGTGTGTGTGTCACGCTGTGTGTGTGTGTCACGCTGTGTGTGTCACGCTGTGTGTGTCACGCTGTGTGTGTCTCACGCTGTGTGTGTGTGTCTGTCTCACGCTGTGTGTGTGTGTCTGTCTCACGCTGTGTGTGTGTGTGTCACACGCTGTGTGTGTCTCACGCTGTGTGTGCTGTGTGTCTCACGCTGTGTGTGTGTCACGCTGTGTGTGTGTGTGTCTGTGTGTGTCTCACGCTGTGTGTGTGTCTCACGCTGTGTGTCTCGCTGTGTGTCTCTGTGTCTCACGCTGTGTGTGTGTGTCTCACGCTGTGTGTGTGTCTCACGCTGTGTGTCTGTGTGTCTCTGTGTGTCTCACGCTGTGTGTGTGTCTCACGCTGTGTGTCTGTGTGTCTCACGCTGTGTGTCTGTGTGTCTCTGTGTGTGTCTGTGTGTCTCACGCTGTGTGTCTGTGTGTCTCTGTGTGTGTCTCTGTGTGTGTCTCTGTGTGTGCAGCGAAGTGAACGCCGGCTTCTTCTACAAGTCTGTGTGTGTCTCTGTGTCTCACGCTGTGTGTGTCTCTGTGTGTGTCTGTGTGTCTCTGAGTGTGTCTCACGCTGTGTGTGTGTGTCTCACGCTGTGTGTGTGCTCTGTGTGTGTCTCACGCTGTGTGTGTGTGTCTCACGCTGTGTGTGTGCTCTGTGTGTGTCTCTGTGTCTCACGCTGTGTGTGTGTCTCTGTGTGTGTCTCACGCTGTGTGTGTGTCTCTGTGTGTGTCTCTGTGTGTGCAGCGAAGTGAACGCCGGCTTCTTCTACAAGTCTGTGTGTGTGTCTCACGCTGTGTGTGTGTGTCTGTGTGTGTCTCTGTGTGTGTGTCTCACGCTGTGTGTGTGTGTCTCTGTGTGTGCAGCGAAGTGAACGCCGGCTTCTTCTACAAGTCTGCTGCGGAGCGCGAGGCGCTGGTGAGCGCCGAGCGCCGCTTCACGGAGGAGAGAATCCGCAAGGTGGTGGCACTGAAGCGTGCAGCTTGTGACGGCACAGACCACGGATTTGTACTCATCAACCAGAAGGTGGGTGGCTGGGTGGGTGGGTGAGTGGGTGGGTGGGTGGGTGAGTGGGTGGGTGGGTGGGTGAGTGGGTGGGTGGGTGAGTGGGTGGGTGGGTGGGTGAGTGGGTGGGTGGGTGGGTGAGTGGGTGGGTGGGTGAGTGGGTGGATGAGTGAGTGGGTGGATGAGTGAGTGAGTGGGTGGGTGATTGAGTTGGTGGGTGAGTGAGTGGGTTGGTGGGTTGGTGGGTGAGTGGGTGGGTGGGTGGGTGAGTGGGTGGGTGGGTGGGTGAGTGGGTGGGTGGGTGGGTGGGTGGGTGAGTGGGTGGGTGGGTGGGTGAGTGGGTGGGTGGGTGAGTGGGTGGGTGGGTGGGTGGGTGAGTGGGTGGGTGGGTGGGTGGATGAGTCGGTGGGTGGGTGGGTGAGTGGGTGGATGAGTGAGTGAGTGGGTGGATGAGTGAGTGGGTGGGTAAGTGAGTGGGTGGGTGAGTGAGTGGGTTGGTGGGTGAGTGGGTGGGTTGGTGGGTGAGTGGGTGGGTGGGTGGGTGAGTGGGTGGGTGGGTGGGTGGGTGGGTGGGTGAGTGGGTGGGTGGGTGAGTGGGTGGGTGGGTGGGTGGATGGGTGAGTGGGTGGGTGGGTGAGTGGGTGGGTGGGTGAGTGGGTGGGTGGGTGGGTGAGTGGGTGGGTGGGTGGGTGAGTGGGTGGGTGGGTGAGTGGGTGGATGAGTGAGTGGGTGGGTGGATGAGTGAGTGGGTGGGTGATTGAGTGGGTTGGTGGGTGAGTGGGTGGGTTGGTGGGTTGGTGGGTGAGTGGGTGGGTTGGTGGGTGAGTGGGTGGGTGGGTTGGTGGGTGAGTGGGTGGGTTGGTGGGTGAGTGGGTGGGTTGGTGGGTGAGTGGGTGGGTGGATGGGTGAGTGGGTGGGTGGATGGGTTGGTGGGTGAGTGGGTGAGGGAGTGGGAGTAGGTGCGGGAGTGGGTGAGTGGTGGGTGAGTGAGTGGGTGGGTGAGTGGGTGGGTAGGTGAGTGAGTGGGTGAGTGGTGGGTGAGTGAGTGGGTGAGGGAGTGAGTGAGTGGGTGGGTGGGTGAGGGAGTGAGTGGGTAGGTGAGTGAGTGGGTGAGTGTACTCACCACCTACTCACCACCTCCTCACCGCGTGTGGTGAGCAGGGAATAGACCCCAACTCTCTGGACATGCTTGCCAAGGGTTGGTGGGTGGGTGGGTGAGTGAGTGGGTGGGTGAGTGAGTGAGTGAGTGGGTGAGTGGATGGGTGAGTGAGTGGGTGGGTGAGTGGGTGGGTGAGTGAGTGGGTGAGTGTACTCACCACCTACTCACCACCTCCTCACCGCGTGTGGTGAGCAGGGAATAGACCCCAACTCTCTGGACATGCTTGCCAAGGGTTGGTGGGTGGGTGGGTGGGTGAGTGAGTGGGTGGGTGAGTGAGTGAGTGAGTGGGTGGGTGAGTGGATGGGTGAGTGAGTGGGTGGGTGAGTGGGTGGGTGAGTGAGTGGGTGAGTGTACTCACCACCTACTCACCACCTCCTCACCGCGTGTGGTGAGCAGGGAATAGACCCCAACTCTCTGGACATGCTTGCCAAGGAAGGCATCGTGGCATTGAGACGGGCAAAGAGACGCAACATGGAGCGGTGAGGACACCTCACCACCACACGCTCACCACCACACGTTCACCAACACACACACTCACCAACACACACTCACCACCACACGCTCACCAACACACGCTCACCACACGCTCACCAACACACGCTCACCACCACACACTCACCAACATGCTCACCAACACACGCTCACCAACACACGCTCACCAGCACACCTCACTACCACACGCTCACCACCACACGCTCACCAACACACGCTCACCACCACACACTCACCACCACACGCTCACCAACACACGCTCACCACCACACGCTCACCAACACACGCACACCACCACACGCTCACCAACACACGCTCACCAACACACGCTCACCACCACACGCTCACCAACACACGCTCACCACCACTCACCAACACACGCTCACCACCACACGCTCACCAACACACGCTCACCACCACTCACCAACACACGCTCACCAGCACACACTCACCAGCACACGCTCACCAGCACACGCTCACCAACACACGCTCACCAGCACACGCTCACCAACACACGCTCACCAACACACGCTCACCAACACGCTCACCAACACGCTCACCAACACACGCTCACCAACACACGCTCACCACCACAGGCTCACCAACACGCTCACCACCACACGCTCACCACCACACGCTCACCAACACGCTCACCAACAACCGCTCACCACCACACGCTCACCACCACACGCTCACCACCACACGCTCACCAACACACGCTCACCACCACACGCTCACCACCACACGCTCACCAGCACACGCTCACCAGCACACGCTCACCACCACTCACCACCACACGCTCACCACAACACGCTCACCACCACACACTCACCACCACTCACCACCACACGCTCACCACCACACAATCACCACCACTCACCAACACACGCTCACCACCACACGCTCACCCCCACACGCTCACCAGCACACGCTCACCAGCACACGCTCACCAGCACACGCTCACCACCACACGCTCACCAGCACACGCTCACCAGCACACGCTCACCACCACACGCTCACCAACATGCGCACCAACACATGCTCACCACACACACCACTCACCACACACACTACACGCTCACCACTCACCACCACACGCTCACCACCACACGCTCACCACCACACGCTCACCAACACACACACACCACTCACTGCCATGCACTCACCACCGTGCACTCGCCACCCGACACTCACCAGTCGCTCACCACCACCACCACCACTGTTTGTGTGTCAGGCTGATGCTGGCGTGTGGAGGCCAGGCCATGAACTCTGTGGACGACCTCACGGTGGACTGCCTGGGCTACGCGGGCCTTGTCTACGAGCAGACCCTGGTACACAGTCACACACAGTCACACACAGTCACACACAGTCACACACAGTCACAGTCACACACAGTCACACACACAGTCACACACACACACACAGTCAACAACAACAACAACCGCCATTCGCCACTAAGTGGCGGTGACGTCACCACGACGCTTGTGCCAGGCTATGTGCACCCTGAGGCCACGTGAAGTGTCGAACGCCCGCTGGCAGGAGGTCACGGGGCAGACCCAGGTGCCACGGGTCGACTGACTGAGATGACTGGCTGATGCACCACCTGTGCCCCCTACTGTGCCAACCTGCTGTGCTTTAGCCACCCGGCGCTCCGCTCGCTGTTGTGAGCGTCGCTCCTCCGCCCTCCGTTGTTGTTGGAGGGCGACTGCCTCCAACTGCCCAGTAGCATCCTTCATGAGCCTCCTCCACAGAGGCCGATCTTGACACCGCTGGTACCAGTCATCGGCAAGTCCACTCAGCTCCACGTCCTCCTGTACCACATCACTCCATCTCTTCTCTAGCCCGTGCCGCGCCCGCTTAACCCCCTCAATCCGGCCAAACAAAAGCTGTTTCGGCATGCGGTGGCTGGGCATGCGGGCTACATGACCCAGCCATCGCAGCCTTTCCCGCCGGAGGAGCTCACCGATGGGACCTTGCCCAGATCTTTCAAGGATTTGTGAGCTCCTCACACAATCCAGTCTGGTTAAACCCAGGATGGATCGTAGGCAGGCCAGCCTAAATGTTTCTAACTGGCGAAGATGTTCCATTAGGGGGGTCCACGTTTCGCAAGCGTAGAGAAGGGAGGGAATGACCGTGGCCGAGAAGACCTGAAGCTTAGTGCGGAGCGACAGACCAGGTAGCTTCCACACAGCGTTACGCAACCGATGAAAAGATATTGCCGCTCGACTGATTCGGAATGAAACCTCTGCTGTTAAACTGGAGCCAGTCACGGGTCGACTGACTGAGATGACTGATATGACAGGCTGTACCCCCTACACACAAAGATAAAAAAACACTCACACACACATAGACACATAGACACACACATAGACACACACACATAGACACACACATAGACACACACATAGACACACACATAGACACACACAGAAACACACACATAAACACACACACACATAGACAGATCCACATCTCCTTCCCAATCAATCCTGCCCCCACTCTCACCTCACCACTACACACTTAACACCCGCGCTCACCACCACCGCCACTCACCACCGCCGCTCACCACCACCGCTGTGTGTCCGTGTGTGTGTCTGTGTGTGACTGTGTGTCTGTGTGTGTCTGTGTGTGACTGTATGTGTCTGTGTGTGTCTGTGTGTTTGTGTGTCTGTGTGTATGCATGTGTGTGTCTGTGTGACTGCGTGACTGTGTGTGTGTCTGTGTGTATGTGTGACTGTGTGTATGTGTGTGTGTTTGTGTGACTGTGTGTGTGTGTCTGTGTGTGTGTGCCACTCTGTGTGTGTGTCACTCTGTGTGTGTGTCACTCTGTGTGTGTGTCACTGTGTGGGGAGCGGTAGTGTAGTGGTTAGCGCTACGCTGCGCTATGAACCTGGCGACCCGGGTTCGATTCCCGCTCACGGCCAACACCAGTGACAATTATCTGAACCGGTCCCGGGCCTCCCCTAGGTCGACTCAGCCTCAAATGAGTACCTGGTGCGGTGTGTAAACATCGCCACTAGGGAGACAAAGGCGGTCGGGCGTGGTGCTGGCCACCCACCCCCTCGTGTACCGTTACGGCCTTCATAGCTGCTCGCTAACAGCACTTGCCCCTACAGTCTGTTAAGGCTATACGGGGGATCTTTGGATCTTTGTTTGTGTGTGCGCGTGTGACTGTGTGTGCGTGTGACTGTGTGTGTGTGACTGTGTGTCTGTGTGTGTCTGTGTGACTGTGTGTGTGTGTGACTGTCTGTGTGACTGTCTGCGTGTGACTGCGTGTGACTGCGTGTGACTGTGTGTGCAGGGTGAGGAGAAGTTCACGTTCGTGGAGGAGTGCAGGGTGCCGCAGTGTGTGTGTGACTGTGTGTGTGTGTGGTGTGTGTGTGGTGTGTGTGACTGTGTGTGTGACTGTGTGTGTGTGTGGTGTGTGTGTGGTGTGTGTGACTGTGTGTGTGACTGTGTGTGTGTGTCGGTGTGTGTGACTGTGTGTGTGTGACTGTGTGTGACTGTGTCTGTGTGACTGTGTGTGTGTGACTGTGTGTGACTGTGTGTCTGTGTGACTGTGTGACTGCATGTGTGTGACTGTGTGTGACCGTGTGACTGTGTGTGTGTGTGACTGTGTGTGACTGTGTGTGTGTGTGACTGTCTGTGTGTGACTGTGTGTGTGACTGTGTGACTGTGTGTGCAGGGTGAGGAGAAGTTCATGTTCGTGGAGGAGTGCAGGGTGCCGCAGTGTGTGTGTGTGTGTGACTCTGTGTGTGTCTGTGTGTGTGTGTGACTGTGTGTGTGTGAGACTGTGTGTGACTGTGTGTGTGTGAGACTGTGTGACTGTGTGTGACTGTGTGTGTGTGACTGTGTGTGTGGCTGTGTGTGTGACTGTGTGTGTGTGACTGTGTGTGTGTGTGACTGTGTGTGTGACTGTGTGTGTGTGACTGTGTGTGTGTGACTGTGTGTGTGACTGTGTGTGACTGTGTGACTGTGTGTGTGACTGTGTGTGACTGTCTGTGTGTGTGACTGTGTGTGTGACTGTGTGACTGTGTGTCTGTGTGACTGTGTGACTGTGTGTGTGTGACTGTGTGTGTGTGTGTGTGACTGTCTGCGTGTGACTGCGTGTGACTGTGTGTGCAGGGTGAGGAGAAGTTCACGTTCGTGGAGGAGTGCAGGGTGCCGCAGTGACTGTGTGTGTGTGACTGTGTGTGTGTGTGACTGTCTGTGTGTGTGTGACTGTGTGTGACTGTGTGTGTGTGTGTGACTGTGTGTGTGGGACTGTGTGTGACTGTGTGTGACTGTGTGACTGTGTGTGCAGGGTGAGGAGAAGTTCACGTTCGTGGAGGAGTGCAGGGTGCCGCAGTGTGTGTCTGTGTGTGTGACTGTGTGTGACTGTGTGACTGTGTGTGACTGTGTGTGTGACTGTGTGACTGTGTGTGCAGGGTGAGGAGAAGTTCATGTTCGTGGAGGAGTGCAGGGTGCCGCAGTGTGTGTGTGTGTGTGACTCTGTGTGTGTCTGTGTGTGTGTGTGACTGTGTGTGTGTGAGACTGTGTGTGACTGTGTGTGTGTGAGACTGTGTGACTGTGTGTGACTGTGTGTGTGTGACTGTGTGTGTGGCTGTGTGTGTGACTGTGTGTGTGTGACTGTGTGTGTGTGTGACTGTGTGTGTGTGTGAGACTGTGTGTGTGACTGTGTGTGTGTGTGACTGTGTGTGTGTGACTGTGTGTGTGACTGTGTGTGACTGTGTGACTGTGTGTGTGACTGTGTGTGACTGTCTGTGTGTGTGACTGTGTGTGTGACTGTGTGTCTGTGTGACTGTGTGACTGTGTGTGTGTGACTGTGTGTGTGTGTGTGTGACTGTCTGCGTGTGACTGCGTGTGACTGTGTGTGCAGGGTGAGGAGAAGTTCACGTTCGTGGAGGAGTGCAGGGTGCCGCAGTGTGTGTCTGTGTGTGTGACTGTGTGTGACTGTGTGACTGTGTGTGACTGTGTGTGACTGTGTGACTGCGTGTGTGTGACTGTGTGTGACTGTGTGACTGTGTGTGTGTGTGACTGTGTGTGTGACTGTGTGTGTGACTGCGTGTGACTGTGTGTGACTGTGTGTGCAGGGTGAGGAGAAGTTCACGTTCGTGGAGGAGTGCAGGGTGCCGCAGTCCGTCACCCTGCTGGTGCGAGGGCCCAGCCGCCATGCCCTGCAACAGGTTCGGGACGCAGCGCGGGACGGCCTGAGGGCCGTCAAGAACGCCATCGAGGATGGTGAGAGGCACGGACACACACACACTGGCACACACACAGACACACACACAGACACACACACACACGGGCACACACACTGGCACACACACACGGGCACACACACACACACTGGCACACACACGGACACACACTGGCACACACACACACACAGACACACACACAGACACACACACACACACACGGGCACACACACACTGGCACACACACACACACGGGCACACACACACTGGCACACACACACGGGCACACACACACACACGGACACACACACACACACGGGCACACACACACACACGGATACACACACACACACTGGCACACACACACGGGCACACACTCGCACACACACACGGGCACACACACACACGGACACACACACGGGCACACACTCGCACACACACACGGGCACGCACACACACACGGGCACACACACACACACGGGCACACACACACGGGCACACACACACTGGCACACACACACACTGGCACACACACACACACTGGCACGGACACACACACGGGCACACACACACACGGACACACACACACACGGGCACACACACACACACGGGCACACACACACACGGACACACACACACACACGGGCACACACACACACTGGCACACACACACACACACGGGCACACACTCGCACACACACACGGGCACACACACACACGGACACACACACGGGCACACACTCGCACACACACACGGGCACACACACACACACGGGCACACACTCGCACACACACACGGGCACACACACACACACACGGGCACACACACACGGGCACACACACACTGGCACACACACACACTGACATACACACACACACTGGCACGGACACGCACACACACACGGGCACACACACACACACTGGCACGCACGCACGCACTGGCACACACACGCACTGGCACGGACACGCACTGGCACGGACACAGACACGCACTGGCACACACGCACTGGCACGGACACGCTGGCACGGACACAGACACGCACTGGCACGGACACGGACACACGGACACGCACTGGCACAGACACACGCACTGGCACAGACACACACACGTACACATGCATGTGTGTTTGCGTGTGTGTACACGCTGTGTGTGTACACGCTGTGTGTGTACACGCTGTGTGTGTGTGTACACGCTGTGTGTGTACACGCTATGTGTGCACACGCTGTGTGTGTGCACACGCTGTGTGTGTGTACACGCTGTGTGTGTGTACACGCTGTGTGTGTGTACACGCTGTGTGTGTGTACACGCTGTGTGTGTGTGTGTACACGCTGTGTGTGTACACGCTGTGTGTGTGTGTGTACACGCTGTGTGTGTACACGCTGTGTGTGTGTGTACACGCTGTGTGTGTACACGCTGTGTGTGTACACACGCTGTGTGTGTGTACACGCTGTGTGTGTACACGCTGTGTGTGTACACACGCTGTGTGTGTACACGCTGTGTGTGTGTACACGCTGTGTGTGTGTACACGCTGTGTGTGTGTACACGCTGTGTGTGTGTACACGCTGTGTGTGTACACGCTGTGTGTCTGTGTGTGTGTACACGCTGTGTGTGTGTACACGCTGTGTGTGTACACGCTGTGTGTGTGTACACGCTGTGTGTGTACACGCTGTGTGTGTGTACACGCTGTGTGTGTACACGCTGTGTGTGTACACGCTGTGTGTGTGTACACACTGTGTGCTGTGTGTGTACACGCTGTGTGTGTACACGCTGTGCTCCAGGCTGTGTGATTCCGGGTGCCGGTGCGTTTGAGGTGGCCGCTTGGCAGGAGCTGACGGCCTTCCAGCCCCAGGTGAAGGGCCGTGCACAGCTGGGCATCCAGGCCTTCGCCGAGGCCTTGCTGATCATCCCCAAGGTGGGCGAATCCCTACACACTCACTACACACTGTCTAGACACTCACTAGACACTCTGTCACTGTCTGTGTGTGTGTCTGTGTCTGTGTGTGTCTGTGTGTGTGTGTGTGTCTAAGTGTGTGTGTGTGTCTAAGTGTCTGTGTGTGTGTCTAAGTGTGTGTGTCTGTGTGTGTGTGTCTGTGTGTGTGGGGAGTGATAGTGTAGTGGTTAGCGCTACGCTGCGCTATGAACCTGGCGACCCGGGTTCGATTCCCGCTCACGGCCAACACCAGTGACGATTATCTGAACCGGTCCCGGGCCTCCCCTAGGTCGACTCAGCCTCAAATGAGTACCTGGTGCGGTGTGTAAACATTGCCACTAGGGAGACAAAGGCGGTCGGGCGTGGTGCTGGCCACCCACCCCCTCGTGTACCGTTCCGGCCTTCATAGGTGGTGCTCGCTAACAGCACTTGCCCCTACAGTCTGTTAAGGCTATACGGGGGATCTTTGTTATCTTTGTGTGTGTGTCTAAGTGTGTGTGTCTGTGTGTGTATATCTAAGTGTGTCTAAGTGTGTGTGTGTCTAAGTGTGTGTCTGTGTGTGTGTCTGAGTAGACTTTGTCTCACAACGCGGGCTACGATGCTCTGGACACGGTGGTGAAACTCAAGGCAGAGTTGGCGCAGACGAAACAGCTGGTCGGGGTGGACCTGAACACCGGTACACAGTCACCACTAGTCACTACTAGTCACCACTAGTCACCACTAGTCACTACTAGTCACCACTAGTCACCACTAGTCACCACTAGTCACTACTAGTCACTAGTAGTTACCACTAGTCACCACTAGTCACCACTAGTAACCACTAGTCACTAGTAGTTACCACTAGTCACCACTAGTCACCACTAGTCACCAGTAGTCACCACTAGTCACTAGTAGTTACCACTAGTCACTACTAGTCACTAGTCACCACTAGTCACCACTAGTCACCAGTAGTCACCAGTAGTCACCAGTAGTCACCACTAGTCACCAGTAGTCACTAGTCACTACTAGTCACTACTAGTCACCACTAGTCACCAGTAGTCACTAGTAGTCACTAGTAGTCACCAGTAGTCACCACTAGTCACCACTAGTCACTACTAGTCACCAGTAGTCACTAGTCACCACTAGTCACCACTAGTCACTAGTAGTCACTAGTAGTCACTAGTAGTCACTAGTAGTCACCACTAGTCACCACTAGTCACTAGTAGTCACTAGTAGTCACCACTAGTCACCAGTAGTCACCAGTAGTCACTAGTCACCACTAGTCACCAGTAGTCACTAGTAGTCACCAGTAGTCACCACTAGTCACCAGTAGTCACCAGTAGTCACTAGTCACTACTAGTCACCACTAGTCACCACTAGTCACCAGTAGTCACCAGTAGTCACTAGTAGTCACTAGTAGTCACCACTAGTCACCACTAGTCACCAGTAGTCACCAGTAGTCACTAGTCACCACTAGTCACTAGTAGTCACTAGTAGTCACCACTAGTCACCACTAGTCACTAGTAGTCACTAGTAGTCACCACTAGTCACCACTAGTCACCAGTAGTCACTAGTCACTACTAGTCACTACTAGTCACCACTAGTCACCAGTAGTCACTAGTAGTCACTAGTAGTCACCACTAGTCACCAGTAGTCACCAGTAGTCACTAGTCACTACTAGTCACCACTAGTCACCACTAGTCACCAGTAGTCACTAGTAGTCACTAGTAGTCACCACTAGTCACCACTAGTCACCAGTAGTCACCAGTAGTCACTAGTCACCACTAGTCACTAGTAGTCACTAGTAGTCACCACTAGTCACCACTAGTCACTAGTAGTCACTAGTAGTCACCACTAGTCACCACTAGTCACTAGTAGTCACTAGTAGTCACCAGTAGTCACCAGCAGCAGTCACCACTAGTCACCACTAGTCACCACTAGTCACCAGCAGCAGTCACCACTAGTCACCACTAGTCACTACTAGTCACCAGCAGCAGTCACCACTAGTCACTAGTCACCACTAGTCACCACTAGTCACTAGTCACCACTAGTCACCACTAGTCACTAGTAGCAGTCACCACTAGTCACCACTAGTCACCAGCAGCAGTCACCACTAGTCACTAGTAGTCACCACTAGTCACTAGTAGTCACCACTAGTCACTAGCAGTCACCACTAGTCACTAGTAGTCACCACTAGTCACCAGCAGCAGTCACCACTAGTCACCACTAGTCACTAGTAGTCACCACTAGTCACTAGTAGTCACTACTAGTCACCACTAGTCACCAGCAGCAGTCACCAGCACAATACCTAGCAGTCAGTAGCAGTCAGTAGCAGCAGTCAGCAGTCAGTAGCAGTCAGTAGCAGCAGTCAGTAGCAGTCAGCAGTCAGTAGCAGTCAGTAGCAGCAGTCAGTAGCAGGCAGCAGTCAGTAGCAGTCAGCAGTCGGTAGCAGTCAGCAGCAGTCAGTAGCAGTCAGCAGTCAGCAGCAGTCAGTAGCAGTCAGTAGCAGTCAGTAGCAGGCAGCAGTCAGTAGCAGTCAGTAGTCAGTAGCAGTCAGTAGCAGCAGTCAGTAGCAGGCAGCAGTCAGTAGCAGTCAGCAGTCGGTAGCAGTCAGCAGCAGTCAGTAGCAGTCAGCAGTCAGCAGCAGTCAGTAGCAGTCAGTAGCAGGCAGCAGTCAGTAGCAGTCAGTAGCAGGCAGCAGTCAGCAGCAGTCAGTAGCAGCAGTCAGTGGCAGTCAGCAGCAGTCAGTAGCAGTCAGCAGTCAGCAGTCAGTAGCAGCAGTCAGTAGCAGTCAGCAGTCAGTAGCAGTCAGTAGTCAGTAGCAGTCAGTAGCAGCAGTCAGTAGCAGTCAGTAGCAGTCAGTAGTCAGTAGCAGTCAGTAGCAGTCAGTAGTCAGTAGCAGCAGTCAGTAGCAGTCGGTAGTCAGTAGCAGTCATCAGCAGTCAGTAGCAGTCAGTAGTCAGTAGCAGTCAGTAGTCAGTAGCAGTCAGTAGTCAGTAGCAGTCAGTAGTCAGTAGCAGTCATCAGCAGTCAGTAGCAGTCAGTAGCAGTCAGTAGTCAGTAGCAGTCAGTAGCAGTCATCAGCAGTCAGTAGCAGTCAGTAGTCAGTCAGTAGCAGTCAGTAGCAGCAGTCAATAGCAGTCAGCAGCAGTCAGCAGCAGTCAGTAGCAGTCAACAGCAGTCAGTAGCAGTCAGTAGTCAGTAGCAGTCAGTAGCAGCAGTCAGTAGCAGTCATCAGCAGTCAGTAGCAGTCAGTAGTCAGTCAGTAGCAGTCAGTAGCAGTCAGTAGTCAGTAGCAGCAGTTCCTGCCATAACACTGTGTGTCTGTGTGTGTGTGACTGTGTGTGTGTGCTGTGTGTGTGTGTGCTGTGTGTGCGTGCTGTGTGTCTGTGTGTGTGTGTGACTGTGTGTGTGTGTGTGCTGTGTGTGTGCGTGCTGTGTGTGTGTGCTGTGTCTGTGTGTGCTGTGTGTGTGTGCTGTGTGTCTGTCACAGGGGAGCCCATGGTAGCGAAGGATGCCGGAGTGTGGGACAACTACTGTGTTAAGAAGCAGATGCTCCACTCGTGGTGAGTGTGTCACTGTGTGTGTCACTGTGTGTGTGTGTGTCACTGTGTGTGTCACTGTGTGTGTGTCACTGTGTGTGTGTGTCACTGTGTGTGTGTGTCACTGTCGGGAGCTGGACCGGTACCGCCTGGATCTATGCGGCATTCAGGAGGTCCGGTGGACCGGCTCTGGCTCCTGCCACCATGAGGGGTGGACAGTCCTCTACTCGGGGCAGCAGACTGCCAAACAACAGGGTGTGGCTCTTCTTTTGAGCAAAAGAATGAAGGGGGCGTGGGAGCGTGGCGGTGAGGTGTGGGAAGCTGTAAGCCCCAGGCTACTTTGGGCTCGCCTTCCCATCAACCGGAGGCGAGGAATGGTGGTCGTGGTTACTTATGCCTTCACCGAAGATGAACATCCGTGGAGGGATGCAGGCAAAGCCGATGAGTCAATGCCTTCTATGACCTCCTGTCACAGGTGCTGGCTAAAGTGGCCCCTCGGGATAGAGTCATCATGTTGGGTGACTTCAATGCCCGAGTTGGTCATGATACTGGCACCTGGTCTGGAGTGATTGGAGGGCATGGGCCAGATCAGCTCAATAACAACGGTAGGAGGCTGCTAGATTTTTGTGCAGCCCATGGGCTTGTAATTACCAACACGCTGTTCCGGCATCGGCGCATCCACACAACATCATGGATGCATGCCGGGTCCAAGCAAGAACATCTGCTGGACTACATAGTGACGGACCAGCGGATGCGAGCCCATGTCCTTGACACCAGGACCTACCGTGGAGCTGATCTGCCCTCTGACCATCGACTAGTCATCTGTAAGATGCGCCTGCCATTCTTCCGCTCTGGTGGTGGGTGTACACCCAGGACCCCATTCCAACCTAAAGTGGCCTGGTCTCAGTTATCTGATGAAAGTTGCAAGCGAGAATTTCATCATCGCTTGCGGCTGGGATTGGCATCGTCCCCGACTCCTGATGTCGAGGGTAAATGGGCGAGGTTTAGGACTGTGACTCATGCAGCTGCAATGGCTGCTTTGGGTACGCGGTCCAGACCTCCCCAGAGACCCTGGCTGACAGAGGAGGTGTTCAGGATGGTTGAGAAAAAGCGACAGGCCCACTGTCATCGGCTACAGAATCCCATGTCAGAGAATGAGGAGGCTTACCGTAGCCTTCGCTCGGAGGTACGGAGAGCCGTGAGGTGCTGCAAGGATGGGTGGTGGTTGCGTGTTGCTGAGGAGATGGAGTCTGCCTCAGTGGCCCGTGATCACAAATCTCTATTTAACTCCATCAAAAAAGTAATCTGCAGCGCCACACCTATTACCATCATTAGGGGAAATAACGGTGACCCAATCTCCGACCCCCAGGAACAGGTTTGCAGATTTGCTGAGCATTTCTGTGAGGTCCTGGGGGAGGGTAAATCCCTCAGCCTAGAAAACATCGTGGCACAAAGTGAGGATGACCCCCTACATGACATCATAACAACAGTCTGGACCACTGGACAGGTTCCGCAGGATTGGAAGGATGCCCTGGTGGTCCCCCTCTTTAAGAAGGGGGACCGCACAGACTGTAACAACTACAGGGGCATCTCACTCCTCAGTGTGCCAGGAAAGGTCCTGGCAATTATTCAACATCGCCTTGCCAGGCACGCTGAGGAGAGGCTTGCGGAGCCCCAATGCGGTTTCAGGAAAAGGCGGTCCTGCACAGATGCCATATTTTCTGTCCGTCTGCTACAGCAGAGGTGTAGGGAATTCCAGCAAGACCTACATCTCTGCTTTATTGACCTGGTCAAGGCCTATGATACCATCAGTCGGCCTGGGCTCTGGGTTGTTCTTCGTGCTTTTGGAGTCCCTGACCCTCTGCTCATGATCATTAAGGACCTTCACATGAGTGGGCCCGGGTAAAACTACGTGGCTGTGTGATGCCTGTGTGTGTGATGTGTGTGTGTGATGCCTGTGTGTGTGATGCCTGTGTTACATATTTCAGTCGTAGTTTAGTGGTAATTTATTGAAGGTGGAGGGGTTACCAGCCCCTGGCACCCGTCCAGAGCCCCCGTTTAGCCACTGTGGTGGACACAGACGCCATGAGGGGAGGAGCCAATCGGAATTGGACCTCCCCCCACAGCACTGTCCACGACAGAGTTGCCCGTCCGGCACCGCGAGGAGGTAGGGGGTTGTTTTTGCTGACCCGTGGCACCTGGGTCTGCCCCGTGACCTCCTGCCAGCGGGCGATCGACACTTCACGTGGCCTCAGGGTGCACATGGCCTGGCACAAGCGTCGTGGTGACGTCACCGCCACTTAGTGGCGAATGGCGGTTGTTGTTGTGTGTGTCTGTGTGTGATCCCTGTGTGTGTGATGCCTGTGTGTGTGATGTGTGTGATGCCTGTGTGTGATGTGTGTGATGCCTGTGTGTGTGATGTGTGTGATGCCTGTGTGTATGATTGTGTGTGATGCCTGTGTGTGATGTGTGTGATCCCTGTGTGTGATTCCTGTGTGTGATGCCTGTGTGTGTGATGCCTGTGTGTGTGATGCCTGTGTGTGATGTGTGTGATGCCTGTGTGTGTGATGTGTGTGATGCCTGTGTGTGATGTGTGTGATCCCTGTGTGTGATTCCTGTGTGTGATGTGTGTGATGCCTGTGTGTGTGATGTGTGTGATGCCTGTGTGTGTGATGTGTGTGATGCCTGTGTGTGATGTGTGTGATGCCTGTGTGTGTGATGTGTGTGATGCCTGTGTGTGTGATGTGTGTGATGCCTGTGTGTGATGTGTGTGATCCCTGTGTGTGATTCCTGTGTGTGATGCCTGTGTGTGTGATGCCTGTGTGTGTGATGCCTGTGTGTGATGTGTGTGATCCCTGTGTGTGTGATGTGTGTGATGCCTGTGTGTGATGTGTGTGATGCCTGTGTGTGTGATTGTGTGTGATGCCTGTGTGTGTGATGTGTGTAATGCCTGTGTGTGTGATGTGTGTGATGCCTGTGTGTGTGATGCCTGTGTGTGTGATGCCTGTGTGTGTGATGCAGCACGTCCATCGCCAGTAACCTGCTGTTGGTGGATGAGATCATGAGGGCCGGGATGTCGTCACTCAAGGGCTGAGCACAGCAGCCTCCAACTCGAGTGTCACACACAGTGACACACACACAGTGACACACACAGTGACACACACAGTGACACACACAGTGTCACACACAGTGTCACACACAGTGACACACACAGTGTCACACACAGTGTCACACACACAGTGACACACACAGTGACACACACAGTGTCACACACACAGTGACACACACACACACAGTGTCACACACACACAGTGACACACACAGTGTCACACACACAGTGTCACACACACAGTGACACACACACAGTGACACACACACAGTGACACACACACAGTGTCACACACAGTGTCACACACACAGTGACACACACACACACAGTGTCACACACACACAGTGACACACACAGTGACACACACACAGTGTCACACACACAGTGACACACACACAGTGACACACACACAGTGACACACACACAGTGTCACACACAGTGTCACACACAGTGTCACACACAGTGTCACAGTGACACACACAGTGACACACACACACAGTGACACACACAGTGTCACACACACAGTGACACACACAGTGTCACACACAGTAACACACACACAGTGTCACACACACAGTGACACACACACAGTGACACACACACAGTGACACACACACAGTGTCACACACAGTGTCACACACAGTGTCACACACAGTGTCACAGTGACACACACAGTGACACACACACACAGTGACACACACAGTGTCACACACACAGTGACACACACAGTGTCACACACAGTAACACACACACAGTGTCACACACACACAGTGACACACACACACAGTGACACACACACACACAGTGACACACACACAGTGACACACACACACAGTCACACACACACAGTGACACACACACAGTGACACACACACAGTGACACACACACACACAGTGACACACACACACAGTGACACACACACACAGTGACACACACAGTGTCACACACACACAGTGACACACACAGTGACACACACAGTGTCACACACAGTGTCACACACAGTGTCACACACACAGTGTCACACACACAGTGTCACACACACAGTGACACACACAGTGACACACACAGTGTCACACACAGTGTCACACACAGTGTCACACACACAGTGTCACACACACAGTGACACACAGTGACACACACACAGTGACACACACACAGTGACACACACACAGTGACACACACACAGTGTCACACACAGTGTCACACACAGTGTCACACACAGTGTCACAGTGACACACACAGTGACACACACACACAGTGACACACACAGTGTCACACACACAGTGACACACACAGTGTCACACACAGTAACACACACACAGTGTCACACACACACAGTGACACACACACACAGTGACACACACACACACAGTGACACACACACAGTGACACACACACACAGTCACACACACACAGTGACACACACACAGTGACACACACACAGTGACACACACACACAGTGACACACACACACAGTGACACACACAGTGTCACACACACACAGTGACACACACAGTGACACACACAGTGTCACACACAGTGTCACACACAGTGTCACACACACAGTGTCACACACACAGTGTCACACACACAGTGACACACACACAGTGACACACACAGTGTCACACACAGTGTCACACACAGTGTCACACACAGTGTCACACACACAGTGTCACACACACACACACAGTGACACACACAGTGTCACACACACAGTGACACACACAGTGTCACACACAGTGACACACACACAGTGACACACACAGTGACACACACACACAGTGACACACACAGTGTCACACACAGTGTCACACACAGTGATACACACACACAGTGTCACACACACACACACAGTGACACACACAGTGTCACACACACAGTGACACACACAGTGTCACACACACAGTGTCACACACAGTGTCACACACACAGTGACACACACAGTGTCACACACAGTGTCACACACAGTGATACACACACACAGTGTCACACACACACACACAGTGACACACACAGTGTCACACACACAGTGACACACACAGTGTCACACACACAGTGTCACACACAGTGTCACACACACAGTGACACACACAGTGTCACACACAGTGTCACACACAGTGATACACACACACAGTGTCACACACACACACACAGTGACACACACAGTGTCACACACACAGTGACACACACAGTGTCACACACAGTGTCACACACAGTGTCACACACAGTGTCACAGTGACACACACAGTGACACACACACACACACAGTGACACACAGTGACACACACAGTGTCACAGTGTCACACACACACAGTGTCACACAGTGACACACACAGTGACACACACAGTGACACACACACAGTGACACAGTGACACACACAGTGACACACACAGTGACACACACAGTGACACACACACAAAGTGACACACACAGTGACACACACAGTGACACAGTGACACACACACACAGTGACACACACAGTGACACACACAGTGTCACACACAGTGACACACACAGTGACGCACACAGTGACACACACAGTGACACACACACAGTGACACACACAGTGACACACACAGTGACACACACAGTGTCACACACACACAGTGACACACACACAGTGACACACACAGTGACACACACAGTGACACACACACAGTGACACACACACAGTGACACACACACATACACAGTGACACACACAGTGACACACACACAGTGACACACAGTGACACACACAGTGACACACACACACAGTGACACACACACAGTGACACAGTGACACACACACAGTGATACACACAGTGACACACAGTGACACACACACACAGTGACACACACACAGTGACACACACAGTGACACACACAGTGACACACACAGTGACACACACACATAGTGACACACACACACAGTGACACACACAGTGACACAGTGACACACACACAGTGATACACACAGTGACACACACACACAGTGACACACACACAGTGACACACACAGTGACACACACAGTGACACACACACACAGTGACACACACACAGTGACACACACAGTGACACACACACACAGTGACACACACAGTGACACACAGTGACACACACACACACACAGTGACACACACACAGTGACACACACACGTACACACATACAGTGACACACACACGTACACACACACACATAGGTACACCAACCCCCTAACCCTCAACCACTCACAACACCCCCAGCCATCGGCAATGCCCCTGTCACACCCCGTGTGTAGGGGCTTAGGGGAGAGACCATAAATCCCTCCCATACCTGTCACCTATAACCCTCAACCCCTAACATACACAACCCTCGTCCTAAACCCCGAGACCCTACACCCCGAGACCCTACACCCCGAGACCCTACACCCCGAGACCCTACACCCCTAGACCCTACACCCCTAGACCCTAAACCCCTAGACCCTACACCCCTAGACCCTACACCCCTAGACCCTACACCCCTAGACCCTACACCCCTAGACCCCCACCCCTAGACCCCCACCCCTAGACCCCCACCCCTAGACCCCCATCCCAAGCTGTCTCCAACGTGTATGGAGCTCTTCCACCTACCACCACCCACCCACTACCCCCCACCACCCACCCACTACCACCCACCCACTACCCCCCACCACCATCCCCTACTACCACCCACCCACTACCCCCCACCACCCACTACCACCACCCACTACCCCACACCAGCCACTACCACCCACCACTACCCCCACCACCCACTACCCCCCACCACCACCCACTACCCCCCACCACCACCCACTACCACCCACCACCATCCCCCACTACCACCCACCCACTACCACCCACTACCCCCCACCACCCACCCACTACCCCCCACCACCCACCCACTACCCCACACCACCACCCACTACCCCCTACCCCCCACCCACTAACCACCACTCGTGTTGTTGGTGTTGGTGGTGCCCCACCACTGGTGGTGGTGTTGGTGGTGGTGCTCCACCAGTGGTGGTGGTGTTGGTGGTGGTGTTGTTGGTGGTGCTCCACCAGTGGTGGTGGTGTTGGTGGTGGTGCTCCACCAGTGGTGGTGTTGTTGGTGGTGCCCCACCACTCGTGTTGGTGTTGTTGTTGGTGGTGGTGCCCCACCACTGGTGGTGTTGTTGGTGGTGCCCCACCACTGGTGTTGTTGTTGGTGGTGGTGTTGTTGCTGTAGCAGCTGAGTGCGCTGGGTGTGGCAGGGCGAGCGATGACGACAATAAACACAGCAACCTGATGGTGGTGGTGGTGGTGATGATCTTGCTTGCTTCTTCCAAGATCACACAGAGACAGAGACCCACAGACTCACCACACAGAGACCCACAAACTCACCACACAGAGACCCATAGACTCACCACACAGAGACCCACAGACTCACCACACAGAGACCCACAAACTCACCACACAGAGACCCATAGACTCACCACACAGAGACCCACAGACTCACCACACAGAGACCCACAGACTCACCACACTTGATACAGCTCTTTTGCTGTGACTTCCATCTGGAGACGGAAGCTTGGTGTTGCCTCCGAAACGTCGTGATTTAATTGTTTTCATTTTACCTACGGCGTGACTTTACCGAAAATCACCAGAGTATCAACACAAATTGTAGAGTAGTTAGTGATGTCATGTCACGCTTGCCCTCTGGTGTGATGACGTCACGACTTGTGACGTTCGCAGGGGGCGGGACGGTGATATGTCCCCCTGGGGTATTTAAGCTGGAACCCGTCACGTGTTCAGGATCGTTTGGAGTGTCTGAATGAGTGAGTGAGTGAATGATTGAGTGAATAATTGAGTGAGTGAATTATTGAATGAGTGAGTTCTTTGAAACAGAGAGGAGATCCAGTACGTAGTCTGTAAGTACATTGTTGAATCAATAAGATCCGGTGCACAATCCGTCGAACATTAAGAGATGTTAAGTTTGACCCAATGTAGAGATCACAGTGGTGAGTCCTATATGGGCAGTTCAATGTAAATCTTTAGGCCGAGTGATAGATGGAATCAAGCTTCTTCAGTACAGAACTTGGGGCTGATTTATACACGATGT